AAAATAATTAGCTACATTTTTTTATTGTTCACACTTTAAATTGTATGTCTTTATGCATCTCTTTAAGAATTTGATGTACCATGAAAACAGAAATCTCTTTTGAACATGGAGAATATTTGATAATGGCGTTTATTGAAACATTTAAGAAAAAAAAAGAAAAATTAATCTACTTTGTTACGGTACCAATTAACCATTCTCTTGCAAGAAATATTTTATTTTCCATTTGGTTGCATCGGCTTGAAAATGCCTTATCTTTATTTTCATTTGTAATAATTCTTTAAGCTTGTAGATATATTTCCCATCTCATTGCAATTTCGCCTCTTGGGACCACTTCCCTCTCGCACGAGCAGCTTCTCTTTCATTCCAACCCAAACTCGAACAAGAGGGGCTCATTGTCCGCGACTGGGTTTTTAAAACCGATATCCGCATGCAGACTCATTAAAAAGTAAGATGACGTCATTGGTCGGCAATTATACAGAGCAAACAGGATCTGCGTTGGGGAAAGAGTTGGCACGTTTAAATTGGAGCCGAATTCTCTAGAGATCTCTCAAAGCTGGAGTGTAATTAATGAATTCTTATTTATGATGTGTGTTTTGATTTGTCAAAGTATCAAGTGAATACAAAAGCTATTTTAAACCAAGACTTTTATCAGAGAACTTTGAAATTTTGTATTTAATTAGATGAAAATTAAGAATGACGTAAAGTTTAAGTTTTTTTTATAAGGTTTCTTCAATTTTCAATAATATTTGATCAATCAATTTTTTAGAAATTAATTTATAATGAAGGACAATGAATCGTTTTGTATTTTAATTTTTCAACAACCTTTTACTTTTACAAGCAAATTGCTGACTTTGCATGTTCATATTTTTCCAGTTTATTTATTTTGTATTGTCACTCTTAAGAAAATTTAAATGATTCTTCAATTTAATTTTTCAAATAAGTTGCAAAATCTCTTAGATTTAGCGAAGTTGTTGAAGCTGAAGTAACACGCAGTGCCAAAACCAAATAAACTCAGTCAGTCGGTCTGGTTGAGCTTTCAAAAATTTAATTAAGCGAGATTTACGAGTGGCCGTAAATTACAGTTGGCCTCGTTCCCGGGGATGTGGCGTTGACAGTTCGGTCTTGTTTCCGCTGACAAAAAATGATGTTGGTGTTGTACTTACTCTTAATGCGTAATTGTCCAATGCACGCTGGTGTGCGGCGGCATTTTTGTTTGTCCGCCAAGCGGAGAGTGCTGGTGTAACGAGCCCCTCCATAATATATCTTTGTAAACACACTCGGCGTGTTGTGTGCAGATGTGTGCGACCGCCGAATTACGGCTCTTTCAGTCTGCTAAATTACATTTTACTCGCGAGCTCCGTGCTAGCGATTTTTATTTTTTTATGCACGTCCTTCAGCCGAGATTGCAAACAGGCCTGTGTGCATTTTCCGCGAAAACCGTGTACACACATTTTTTGTTTTTTGTGTTTGTGCATGCAGCCCACTTGGCAGGCGAACAGGTTTGCTCTGTGCAAATTAATTCTCGCCAGGCTATATTTTATTATCCGGTAGTGCACACGTTATTAATGCGCAGGCCAGACAGATTAATTCGAGCGCGTTATTGAAATTGGCTTTGCCAGGATTTCCCTAATGAGTTGTTAAAATTTCATTGCGGGTCACATTTTGGTGAGCTGTTTGCTGCAGTTCGAATAATATTGTGTGCAAAATTAAATAAATTGCTAATGAATATGAGTGTAAAATAATAATAATTATTATGTGGCCGTCACCATCAATTATTCAACTCCGCACAGTGGACAAAAGCATAATGGTATAATTTAAAAAAAAATACTAATAATGATTTTATATTTAATTATTTAGGCATTTCTATTTAGTTTGCTACATTTTGCCCTAAACATTTTCACACATATTATTTGCAATTTTTTAAGGATTCAAAAACAAGAACTTAAAAAAGAAATGTTTGTTCTCTTGCGTATACATAAGGTTGTAATTCCTTTAGCAGAAATAGATTTCAAAATCATAATTAAAGTCAGATTAAGGATTAATAAATAGGATCACTTCAAGGACTCATGTAATAAAAAAAAAACGCAGATGTTACTGTATTCTATAGTCATTTTAAGAAATATCCATGTATTTGAATTTATTTAAATTATTGTGGTCAAAAATTAAAATATAAAATTACTGTATACATCTATCAAAATTAACTTAATGAAAATCATTTGAAGACAATAAATTACATTGTCACCATCAAATATAATATAATTTTAAAGTATGTATTTACTTGTTTAATTATTCATTATTTCTCTCGCAAAAAATTCCATTCTCATGGCTTGAGACATTCAACGTCACAGATTAAAATATGTTTGTAATTAATAATTTCTAAAATGATCTTTTCTCTTTAGATCATATTTTCATGTGTTAAATTATTATTTTTATTTCAATTTTATATAATGATGAGCTCTTCTGTCCTTTTACCCACTCCATGTATAACAACAGCCTGACAACGTCAATGCCACGGCCGGGAAACCACCACATCAAAAGTGTGCATAATTCACCAAATGAAATTTCACATGGGCTAAGCGCGAATTCCACGCTCAGTCTACGAAAGTTTTGCACAGAATTTCACCATCACGCGCATTGTGCAAGAATTTCGGCACATGCACGCCATGTATATTTTCCAGGAGATCATGCATATTCATGCGCAAACAATAAACGTTGAACGCACATATATGTATACTGAGCTGCACCTTAGGCCGTTCGTTTTGTGTTTTGTCGGTGTCCACCATCTCTCTCTCCTAAATAAATAATAAATAAATAAATAATTCAGGCGTTGGTTATGCAAAAAATGTGCGCGAGAGAGAGCCGGTAGGTCAGAAGAGACTTTGTATAAAGTGCGTCGGGAAATAGCAGAGGTTACAACGGAAGGCCGTTACTTGCGAACAAATTTAAAACTACACGCAGAGTCTCGCTTACAAACTGCCCTCGGAGCAGATTGCAGATGAGCGAGGGCGCGCAGGTAAAAAATAAGAGAGTGTGGTTGTTTTGTGTCTCCCCGGGGGATTCCATTTATAAGCGCGCAGGACACCCCGGCGAGACAATTTCCAAAATTATATACACCCTCACTGCTCTTCTCGCCCGAAACTAAACAGAGCCCAACTCTCTCTGCACATTTTGCTTTCTCTTTATTCTGCTCTTTGTTCAACTTGCGGTCCAAGTTTGCACACACATACGCTTGCAGTCGTTCTGCTATCTATGCGGTTTCGGGCAAACACTGTGGTGCCTCGGGGAAAATGAGATTTTTTTTTTGTAAAATACGGGTTGGTACGGCAACGAGTGGAGATTCAAATTTTTGTGAATGGCTGAAATTTTAGATTAGGAATTTTATGCAACCTAATAATTTTGGTGCCGCACCAGAAGTCAAAAGTTGATAATTAAAGGAAAGTGAGGATAAATAATTTTTATTATTGATTATTTTTACTATAAAACACTGAAAAAAAGAAATGCATATCAGACGATTCAGATCTTTTTGAAATCCACAATTCCTAATACATAACGTACATATTTTGGAGTATTGATTTTTCATTTTTTATTTTTTTTTTTAAGTTTTATATTTTTCAGATTTTTTCACATCAAAATAAGCGATTTACTTTCAATCCGAAAATACACGAATCGTTAGTTTTTGGATATTAATTTTAGTTTAAAATACACTGACAGTAAATATATTTCGTTTGTGGTCAAAGGCCGGCTTTTTGCGCTGTGATCCGCTGCGGATTTGCAGACTGAAATAGAGATTTCCGCAAAATAACGCTTTAATTGCACACAAACATGGGTTCAGCCGCCGAACGAGGCAGAATTTACGGCTGCATGCAGAGCGAGTACTTTACTCACAATTAGCCGGCGAACGGGCTGCGTGTGTTGGTTCAGCGCCTAAACGGTTGTTCAAACACCCTCCCTCGTCTATATTTATGTAATTACACCGCTTATTGTTCGACCACATCGGCGACAAACTGACCATGGAGCCAACGGCGCGTTTGACGTCCACCACCAGTTTCTCTTTTGTCGTCGGCCTTTGGAGCCTGGCACTAATTTTCCTCGCCGCGTTTTCAAAGGGAAAGGACAGGACGAAAACCACTAAATGTATACATGCGAAGTTTCTAGAATTGTGCAAAATTAATGGTTAGAACTACCTTATTAATAAATAAAAAAAGTATTTACACAAATGCAATTATAGAATTTCCCTCTCTTCTCCAGAACATAATTTAATAGAATAATTTAGTGATTCTCTCAGTACAAAGATTGATTCAAATTTTAATGTCCAATGTCCAATTTATAATTGTATATATCAAGATTATATACATTCAATTGCATCTAGATATTTCTTAAACCATCCAAATTAGAATTGTTTTAATGGCAAGAAAAAAATTGGCTGACTTGGGAAAAAAGCAAGATTAAAATTGAAGTTTCTTTTAATTGCGTTTAGCAAATATCGTAAGAATCAAAGAAAAAATTATAACGTTAACAATAAGTAAATAATATACCTTAACTTATTTTATCAACTATAACTAATATTATTTTCATTTGTAACCCAATGTTCTGTGAAATCTTTATTTTTATTTTAACTTGAGTAAAAAAACTCCGCCATTAGTTTATAAAAAAGGTACCTGACGTTCAAGTACCTTTGAAAACTCAAAACCTAGGTTGCTCTTTTGATAAACTTTGTCAGGAAAACAGGAAACTCTAGAATAACTCTCGCAGCCGCACCAAAAGCAAACTTTCTCCAGCTCAGTTTGCTTTACTGCTGCCGGAGCGATCGAAAGTAATAATTTAATCGGGGAAGGGAAGTCTCGTGATTAAATTGCACGAAGCGAATCGAAGAGTTGGCGAGAGAGCCGCGCGCAAAATGACCCAGCGAGAGAGAGCCAATGCGAATGATGTGCCGGCCGAAATCGGATTAGAGCAAAAAGATGATAGACATGCGCATCAAATAGAGCGAAATGTTGTTGTCTTGGCGGGCAGTGCGAGCCAGCGAGTGGAGCATGTGAGACGCTTCTGCCCTGCTCTTCTCCCCACGATGACCTCTCGATTAAGGCACTTGCTGCTCATTTATGGCCTGGCCGTGGCCGCCGTGGCCAGGCCCAGCGTCGGCGCTGCTGACGACCTCGAAAACGGTGAGACATTTTCTCTCTCTCGGTCTGACTGAGTTTTCCTTCCTTCGGCAAATGTTTGCTCTGCGAAAAGCGGCTCTACATCCCCTGAACGCCCTACTTGTTTTGAATTCGCGAGTGAGCTCACCGTTCTTCCTCCCTGCCAATTAAAAAATCCCCAACGTTGTGCTAAATCTCGAACTCAATCTGATATCATTAATCATTTGTAAAAAAAAATTGTTATGTACTAAATTTTTTTTTAATTAAGACGCGTGTTTTATTGGACTGTGCTCTTTAGAGGACATTTAAGTTATAATGTTTGTGTCATTTATTTTATCTCTATATTGCCTCATCAATCTTTCATTATTTTAATGCATTATTTTTTAATTACAGGGAGAAATAAATAAAATTACAACGTAATATAGCATTTTTTGCTATTTTTAAATGTTTATGAAACTGTTAAAGGGTTTATTTTTTAGTTTAAAATTCAGATTTTTTTATTATATAATGTGAAATTTTTTAATTTTATATTATATAATATATTATTTTTTCCCGTCACAGAGGATTGTTTCTTTTTCCTCATATATTTTAATTTAAAATAGGCATACGGGCAAATTTTATTATTATTTACATTTTTAAACCAACCTTCATTCATATCAATGACTATCTGAATGGAAGATAATGTTATGAATCTGTTGGGTCAACGTGTTTTAAATAGAATTAGTTTACATATAAATAAGTAACCATAATGAAAAGAAATCTTTTTTATAAATTAACTATGCATAATAAAAATTTAGAATATAATGAATGCACACTTTATTCTTTTCACTTTTTGAAAACTAAAATTTGTGTTTGATTGAAAGAAATCAACTCTTACTGCTTCACATTTTGTCTGTAGCCCTAAACGATTAGTCATAACTAATGAAAAATTTTTTCAATAAAATATAATATATAAAAATATAATTGCTTCAACATTTCAAACTTATTTAAAATAGGAAATTGATCATTAAAACCAAATTATTTGACCGCAGAAATTTTGTTTAGATGCCATGCATGCAGTAGAATTGTGCCCTAAGCAAGTCATGATGATGGGCGTGACGTGTTTGACGCTGACTTGGCAAGTGCATTCTCTGCAACATTATGCAGCAAGACGTACATACGGGTAGTGTTAGACATTAATTTCACATCAGCAAGTATAATGGGAATTGACTCGGGGGGGCCGGCCGGGGCCAAAGCAAGGTGGGACGCGCCAGAGATCGACGCCGCAATCGGAAGTTATGAGCATTAGACACACCAGAGTGGCATTGCATTATACTCGCCCCCTTTGGATAGAGACCACCGACGATGGATGGATGGATGTACCTATTAGTGTTTGAATAGGCGGGCGACTCACTCTCTCGCAACTTGTAAATCAAGCCACTCTGGCAGATGCGCTAATTTGGATATCCTACGGGGATTGCCGCAAACATTATGAATAGGCAATTACGGCATAGCTCAGAGGATGACAATTATCGCTACGTGTTGACAATTTGCATGTTGGGCACTGTCTGCCTGGCCGATTGTTTGGCTTTTGTGAGAGGATTCTGTTCACAGAGCAAGACAACTGAAATTGCCAGCAGAATGAAATATAAATTTTTCTACTGAAAGCTTGGAGTTTTAAAATAAAAAAGGCAGGTTTAATTTTTGTATTAACAATTGTGAAACATTGTAGTCATCATAATTTTTATTATATTTTTGTACCGCAAAGAAGATTTTTTTGTCAAATTCCATTGAATTCAACAGCTACACAAAACATGACGGCAATATTGGCAAAGAGGGTGCTTGATGAATTAAAAGCATCCAGTTGGATTTTATTTGGCTCACCGATCGCCTTTTAAAAAGCACCCCGCGGCTCGTGCTCTGATTAATGTGCCACTTAAGCTAAATACTAACGGTGCTGGAACATTCATTTAGTTTCCAGCACTTTTTTTTCGCCTTCTTCGCCAAGAGCGCTCGGCGCCTCTTTCGCTCTCTCTTTTAAATTTTAATTCCAACAGCTCAGGACCTCTTCCGCAACAAACAAGCTCTCGGACTTTTAATTAAAGTAATTTATCCCTCCACTCGCGCGCGCGAGAGCTAGAGCTGAAAGGCCGAATGTCTCTGCTGGCGAGTGCATGTAAATTTTTTTCTCTGCTGTTAAGAGAAAAGCGGTGGGCATGAAGAAGCAGAGCAAAGGGACATTTTCAAATGCATGCAGCCCCAACTATATGCATATAATATACCGCTTTAATTAAATGCAGTCTGCGAAATTTAGAATTTAGATGCAGAAAGCTAGGCCGCCATGAATGTATAAAATATAAGCAGCGGTGATTAATGCATCGCTCCTTGGTTTATTACTTTGCCCATGAGCCAGAAGCTAGAAAATTTCCTGAGCTTGAACGCAAATAAATTTATTTAGATTTATCTAGTTTATTAAATACCAAAGGACTTTTCCCTAGAAAAATATTTCATTCCTTTTGTTAAGGTGAGGAAATTGATTGTGAAGTTTCAAATTTAATTTGTTCGGCATATATTCTGAATTCTTAAAAAAATTTGGTAAACTTTTGACCGCCTCTTTTTTGAAAATATTTGTTTTATTTAGAGGGAAAAGTTTTAAAATATTCCACTTAACTTTATAAGAAAAAATTTTGTCGTTTGAATAAGTGCTCATTTGTGCTCAATGTCACTAGACCAAATTATAACAATTATGTAAAATGAATCACAGCTAGACGAAATACAAAATATAGTTTATTCAAAACAAAAGTTCAATTCGATATCACCAGATAAAACGGTAAATAGCGCCACCGCATCATAGAAAAGTAAGAAGAACTGGAAGAACTAACATGAAAAATGTAATAGCCTGCAGCCTGCGGCGAGTATATGAATTGCTTTTTTTCATGACAAAAAAAAAACAGATCTTAAATGTTAGTCTCTGTGTATGTATTATTTATAACCCACATTTTCCTCCGTCATCTAATATTATGTGTATTTATTTAGCTTTTTACAAGAAAAACTCTTTACCAGTCGATAAATTGCATCTGCTGCTAAAGACGCGCGTTGCTCACCGTAAAAAGTTTCATGGAAGTGACGGCAGCATTTTTGCCTCTGTACGCTTTCACGCGCGTTTGCTGTACGTGTTTGCTTCTTCTGCTTCTAGTCTCTGTGCGCTTTTATTGCGCAACTAACAAAACACATTTCCTCCGAACAGAACTGCGTTCAAGCACACACGCAAGAAGAGCGAGTGTGTTTGCAATTTTGCTACATGGCAGTGTAGCGAGCAAGCGAGGTGCTAACAAGTTCGCCAAATTATCTCCGGTGTCACATGCAGCTCGCGTTTGTTCCTCGTTTTTATGGGCCGGAGCGGATTAGGTAACGTAAGAACGGGGCGCGGTTTGCCTCAGAATTTGCTGCGAGAAAATTTCTGTTCATTATAATTAGGAGCTGCGAGTTGTGAGATAATTTTCGTTAAGCAGAACATGCGAGAACATATTAAAGTATCCTAAAAAAGTTAAAACGAAGAACAAACCAGTGGCTATTTTTACTGTTTGGAGCTAAAAAAAAGTCTAAAACTTACTTAATCGACAAGCCCACATAATAAAAATAAATGCATATATATATTTTTATTTCTTTCTAAAAAGTTACATTCATAAATTCTCAATTATTAGCAGCTGCACACATTAGTGAAAAGTTTGAAATTAAAAATCTATGAAAATTGTCGCTTTGAAAAGTCAAATTAAACCAATATAATAATGGTTTAAATAAGTCGTAAGTTACAATAAATATATGTCAAATTTATCTCCAGTCACATCACAATTATGTAATGTCAAATATTTTGTTTATTTATCAAAATCCATACTAAAAATAATTTTTTATGTAAAAAAATCCAATTTTCAATCCACATTACTTACCTTTACTTTTTGTATGGAAAGTGCGATTATAATCATATTGGTGGCCATTACAATTTTTATAATTGGATATTTGATGTTTTACAATTTTTCTTTACATACTTTTTGATCAGTATTTTTATTTTCAAAGCAAACAAACGGAAAAATAATTTGCCTGCCAAAATTAATTACTTTTGAATCCAACTTGCAAACCTTTTTACATTTTCCTATTGCTCTGAAAAGAAATGAGGAAAAAACCACACCAATATTTATCAACATACGCCGAACGTGGGTAATAAAATGGAAACAAAATTCGTAGGTACGTAAAATAAAGCATCGACCGTGCTACTCAAATTATACGTCTGGCTTTGTGCGGCGTAAAAATATTCACCCATTCACCGCAGAATAAAACAAAGACAAATGCCGGCAGGAAAACACACATGCTGGGGTTGGAATGTGTGCGAAAGTTTGCGTCTGGCAAAGAGACTGTTTGGATCCCAACCGAATTACGAATGTAAATTGGACTGTTCTCGACGATAATGGTGCCGTAAAAGTGGAAAACGCGTCTCGCGTAAAGCCCGCGAGCTCCATTACTCAAAATTCACTTCGTTTATTCCCATTGTGCTCTTTTACGGCGTCTAGTGCACCTCTCAAACCATGGACGCGTTTATTTCGTGCGTGCCTGCAATGAAACGTCTTATTATCTTTTTACGACTGATAATAATGTCCTGAATGTTATTAACTTTCTGGTTTCCGGCCAGCGAAAAGCGGCCGGCCCAAATAAATATAACAAGTAGTTGCTGTTGGTTTATTTTCCGCTTCTCTCTCGCTCTTTATCTCGCTCGCGCCAAATTTTATTGAGAGAACCAACGGCGTTTTCGTTTTTTATGTTGCAATTCACATGTGAGCTGCAGGCCCGCTGTTTATGTCGCTGGGGAAATTGCAGACGGGCGCGCCCGCCGTTTAATTAAAAATATGCAAAATGAATGCACGGACTGGTCGGTCGCTCTTGTAATTTTTTCCTCCCGCCGAGCGTGAAATGCAATTATGCTCACGCTAGAATCGAGCCGTCAATGGCGTCAATCATGTTCGAATTTACAAACATTAATTACACACTAAAAAATTTAAATAGGCAATTAAATTTTTTTGCAAATATATTTAAAAAATTGTTAATTTTTATTTATTTAAAACTTATTACATTATTAAAGCAAAGTTATTTGTTGATATTTTTTAAATTTACAATTAATATTTTTTGTATGTTTTACACATGCACTATTTTAAAAGTATTAAAAAAATAAGAATTTTGATTATTTTTTAAATTTTTTTTATTTATTTTATAAACTCAAACGGACATCTATAGGTTAATCAGTATAAATTATCCTTCTTTCCGCTCGGTCTATGGTTACTTTCACCTTTATTTAAAATACTTGAATTATTCAATAACTTTACAAATTATTGCCAAAATTTCAAATTAAAATGTCTTTGAAATTAAATTTAGAAGCTTTTTCACTATGGGGATCATTATTCATTATACTAGATATACTTGAAGCCAAAAATCCTCAAATTTTAAAAAATTTTTTAACTCTAAAAAAAAAAAGAATCAAAGAAACTCTCTTCACAATAAAAAGCTCCAAGAAAAAAAAACAGTGCAAATTGATAGCATCTACTAGTACGATTCAAATAATAATTTTGAATGAGGATTATCTGCCTGACAGATCAGACAAGCAGACCAAATTAATATCGACACTGCCAATTCTCATTGAGCCAATCAGGCGTAAATTTCAACAATTTTAAAACCGGGTTTCCCACAGGCTTGCAGAAGGTGAAATGACTTTGCTTATACAATCTCGACGAGATTGCAAAAGTAATTAGAACGGCGCAATCTGACTCGACTTGCGCGACACAATTTATTTGCGCGACTCTCAGCTCGAGTTTTGCCAGCATCCATTTGCAAACGAATTCCATTTTGCCGTCATCATTTAGCTGCAATTAGTGAAGCAAACTTGTTCTCGACACACGCAAGAAGTGCACGATTAAACCCTGGATTGCTTTTGCACGATTAAATTTACTCTCCTGGCCGGAAAATAGTTCGCAACTTTGCCAATAAAGGAGCATCAATTTTACACAAGCTTGAAATTAGTTTTCAAGTGTGGTGCTGCCGAACATTAATCAAATATCAGAGCGTTCAATCAGCTAATCGTAATTAACCTCGCAAAACGCAAATACAGCAACAATTTAGTTGAAAAGGTACTTATTGAGCTTTCGGGGTGCCTCTCATCATCGCACACTCACTTCATCGCGTCACGCTTGTTGATTTTTGGCGCAATCATGTGTGTGCGCTCACTCCTGATTGCTCCTGTTTGCATGAGTTTATTTGCAATCAGGAACCAATAATAGGGTATTGTGTGAATGTGCTGATTAAACTGCATTGTTTCTGACAAATCAATATCGTGTCAATAAAATACTTTATAATTAACTTTCAATAAGTCTTTTTGATTACAGATGCAATAGGTACTCTTATTTTTTCAAGGGTCAATACAATAAAATTGTCTGCAATGGTCTCTTTTTTTTATTTATCTGTTTATTTTGCCAACATATGAACCAATGACTTACATTATATGAGAGTTTAATTTTTGAGATCGACGTCAAAATTTTTATCGGATTAGGCAGACCAGGTTTCTATGTTTCTGGATACTTGAATACTTGAAAAAGTAACTATATATTTATAATTATTTTTTTCAATTTTATGTAAAAAACTTTTTATGTTGTAATAAAAAAAAAAATAATAAACGTTTAATTTATTACGTTTGATGTTATCTCATTTCATATTTTTGTTGCTTGCTTGATACAGTTAAAAATAATATTAGTTTTATTAGTCAAACTTTTTTATTATAGATTCATTCTTTGTATTGGCGAAAAGTATCATGTCAAACAAATTTAAATCGGAAAATGTTGATCTCGGAATTGTCAGGTGAATTTTGTTTCAAATCACGTCTATTAATGTATCCCCGGGCATTCTCTGCCCAAATACATCATCCATAAATATTCAATATTATAAATTACATTGGTTACAAGAGAGAGTAATTTATTGTATTCATTGTTGCACTTATTTGAATATATTTTAATGTCATTACTTTTCAATTTTATTCAGCGAAAGTTACTAATATTTCATGTGTATAATAATTGTAATATTGTTACTGTTTTTCAGCCTACATTTTGAAATTTTCATCATATATGGCACTAATTGTAAGATATCCAAATATAATGATTATTTGCTTTTTAATTTAGTAAGTCTCACTTTCAAATAATATTTTCTGTCACAATTCTTTGCTACGTCTGTTTGACAGCAGTCTGGTTTTTTTTACAAGTGCGTGTGAGACTTGGTAGCCTTTTCGCTCGGCAGTCGAAGAGGATTATCCATCTCGGTGGTGGTGCTGTCCTTGCCGGACGGAATATTGACACCGTGACGGAGACGGTGGCTGCCGTTGGGGCCACTTGCGGCCACTTTGTTATACCTACGGCCTAGCAGATTAAACGCTTAAGCCCTCTCATTTGTCACGGCGCGCACGCCGAAAAGCCACCGCCCGTCCCTTCGGAGGGTGCCTCGGCGCCGCCGATGCTAATTTTGTCTCTCGTGTGCGTTTTATTTGCTTTGCTGTTTAGAATCTCCTCTTTTGCCAAAATGAATCATAAAAAAAGTTAATATAAAAATAATTAATTGCTAAAAATCGTGTAATACATTCGATAAATGGTAAAAATTAAGAGCCACTAATTGTAAGAGAAAATTAGTAATTAATTTTTTATCCATTCAAATGAAATGAAGGGGTTGCAAACAAACAGATGGCACATTTGTATTAAATTACTTTTAAACGTATCAATCAATGACATAGATATTTGTCGGCAAAAAAACGACAGAATGAAAGTTTTGTCATTTTCCATGGCACTTAATTATAATTTTATTTTATAAATATGAATATATTTTGAATCAATAAAACTAAACGTTTCTATATTTGGTGACCAGTATGGAATACTTCGCTTCGCAATCTGAAATCGAACGTGTAGTGAATGCAGACATTTTTCACTTAAGAAAAACATCCAAGCTTACGCAAATTGAAATAAGCAAGTGCATTTTGAAACACAATTGGAAATACTTATTAATTTAATTTTCATTTGGGATTATGTACTTAAAAATAATATTAATCTTGGAATGCCTACCAATTTTAGTTAACATTTTCAAGACAATTATGCTAGAGATTGAAGAAAAATTCGCTAAGAATGAATAATTAGCACAAAGAATTCTTTTTTTACAAGAAATAAAAAAAACATATATTTTTAAATTAAGAGCAATACAATTTTCTTTTTAATATCCATTATTTATTTTGAATATTATTCAATTTAACTAGTATTGTGAAGTATTTTATTTTATTTGTTTGCTTATATTTTAGTTTCTAGATTGCATAACCATAACTGATAGAAATTTATCAATTGGATTTTAACGTTTGCATAATATTGATCATAATTAATTTATTTACATGATCTTCCACAAAATAGTTTATGAACATATGCCATGAGCAACTCTACAGGTCCAAATTTGCATTTAGTTTGGTGTTGAATTTAATTTACCAATAATCATGTACATTACTTAATATTCAAAATGTCCAAAAATAGCTTCTATTTTTCAACCGCTGTAATTTAAAAGTGAGAATAAAGTCATGCCATTATTATTTCATTTGCAGACACGCCAAAGAAAATCCCTGAGAACGAAGTGACGACGTCTTCGAGATGCAACCCTCCTGAGATGAACCTGGCCGGAAATCGAGCGGTGGCCACGGATTTCTTAGGGGTCACCGAGGTCAAGTTTGCGGGCGCCATCGGTCCCCTAGGTGATCGTCGTCTTTGCAAAATTAAGTGCATCGACGGTGAGTGGGTCGGACCGCTTTGCCAAGTCAAGGATGGTGAGTTGCCAAAAGTTTTGAGATAAAATAAATTGCCGCCGTTGGCCTGAGAGAATCTTTATTATAAACGAGAGATTTGCCAAAAAATTGGCGGGCGCTTCCACCCTCTTGAATTTTATCTGTTTGTTTCGGCGGATGAAATTTGAAGAGATAAAAACAAATTGGAGCTGCCATGGCAATTCCATTACAAACAAGCACACTGCGCCGCAGGGAAAATAAATTAGCAGACGGACAAGCGCGTCAGAGAATACACACAATTAATATAATCCGTTGCCGAGCGAGTCTGACCAAAATAACAATCACATTCGATAATACTGAATCAAAACTGACCGCTCCGAGTCCATAAAATAATTGGCCATTGATTCGCGTAATGCAACCATAAAATTGAATCATCCGCATTTTCAATTTTTGCGTGGCCTGAAATTCGGTTTGTTGTCAAAGATCAAACAAATATGATGCTATAAAAATTTAAAATGAATTTCGTAATCATTATGAAATAACTAATATGGATATAAATCAAAGATTTTTTTTTTCAAATTTTAGTCATTGAGCTGAACTGTATTTTAATATTGCACTTAAAATATCAAAATGATATCAGGAAAATTGATTTAAGCGGATAAAATCCTTTAAAAGTGGAAATATTTTTACAATATCATACAAATGCTTCAAATATTGTTACGCGATTTTAAAAATTAAAATATTTAAAAGAAAATATTTAATTTCAGACTTCCAGAAACCCTTCATTTTGCATTAAAATATTGTAATTTCAATTTAGAACTAATAATAAAGTAGAAAAAGAATCAAAAAGTGAACACTTGGCTTGTATGATCTGTTTTCAGATAAATGAAATTCCATAAAACAACAAACGTTTTCTGTATTCGTGCATCTGTATATAAAAAAAAATTAATATGTGTCAAGAAATGATTACTTTTCATAAAAATAAATATTTTTGCACTGTTTACAATTAATGTATTGATTATAATAAACTTTTTTGCAACTAAACATTAATCCTAGGCCACCCGTGGCGCCTGTGTGCGCGGCAAATTGCATAAGCTGCAATCAGGCAGGCGCTCGAGTAGCAAGTTGGTTTTGCAGTCAATAATCACCGAAAGTAGACAATATATTTGAGGAGCAGGCGAGGCAAATATTTGAGTTGGACGAAGCGAGGGCGGTCGGTGGCCCGGGGGCGAAACACGTCGGCATCAGTAGCCCGAGCACGCTTTCCTTAATGAACTGGCGCGTGTGTTGCGCCTCGCTCGGCCACGCACAGATTGTATCGGCGAGGGCATGAGACGTGTGCAGCCTCCCTTCATTACCGTAAAAGTGAATGAATTGCGCGCGAGCAAAATCGAACTCGCCGAAAGACAAGGGAAAACAATCAGACGGGAAATTGGACTGCGCTGATCGAAGGCCGTAAAACGACGAGACGCACTGCCAAGGCTGCGCCGACGAGAGAAGCGGATCTCACCCAACGGAAATGTGGCGGCGCACAGCCTTTCTGTCAGATTGCTTCGTGAGAGAGTGATATTAATATTTCACTAAAATGAGCACAGCCGAAATCAATCTTTTATTTCACGTACAAAGTGCAGTTTTGTTTTCAGAGGAAAATAAATAAAAAACCCTTAATAACAACAAATTAAGTAATAACTTCACCATCACTTTGAAAGATTACAAAAAAACTGAAATAACCACTTTTTATAAAAAAAATAGTTGTTAACATATTAATTTTGTGTAAATTATTTTTAATTTATGCGTATTTATGTAGAATGTTTTAAAATTGTTTAGGTTTTAGCCAGTTTTAGCTGTATTTAATATAATTATTTAAACTTTTAAATTTTTTTATACATTTTTACTAACGCATAACCCGATTTATAAAAATATAATGAATTTAGAATAATAAAAGAAAAACAATTTATAAACTATAATATTGTTATTTATATATATATCAACACGATTTTCATTGCTTATTGAATTTTACATTAAAATTAACTCTCCCTCATGCGTCTTTCTTTCCCTTACATTGTTAATCTTTATGATTTTTACGCACTGCATTCAAATTTCAGAGCTGTTAATATTGCGACATATATAAAAATTTATAATAACTTCACATTTGTGTATAATGTATGTATGTACCACTTAAAATTAAAATAATCTTACACAATTTGTAATTCTAAACAGTGTGAAAAATTTATATTTTTAATTAAAGTCGACAACATATAAAGTGATGAGGAAGTGAACCAGGAAAGGTTACTTATTTGAAAAATATAATTCTAATTTCCTGGAAAAGCAAAACATACTTTTACTTGGAAATTGAGAAGGAGCCACCTATCAATCTTCCCAATGTATAATATATAAAAATCAAATGAAAGGAGCGGGGATGAAACTGCGATTTCTTTTAAAATAATGGATTTACTTTAAAATTCGTACCCTAACAAAAAACGGTTACAGATACTATTTATGTGTTTCACTCTGAATAGAGTTTTAAATTACTTTGACATGAATAAATTGAATTAAAAATGCGCGAAAAGCTCTGCTAATTGAAAATTGATCTCATCAACAAAAGTGAAGCACTTCGACAAAGTTCTCTCTCATTTCGTGCCCATAAACTCGTTACACACGCAGGCGAGTTCAAAGTGGAAATTTACGATCGAGTTTCACAATACACACGGCCCGCGTGATAGAGCAAAGTGCTTCTCCCTCCTCGTCACTCAATGGAAACTTCTCCATTTAATATTTCCACATCAAACCGGTGGCTGCTGGTGCAAGTTGAAACTTTCGTCGGCAGTCAAAAGTTAATGCACTGAATAATAATTCTCGGCGGCAACGACGCCCGCCCGCTCTCCTTGCACATCACCTTTTCATCATCACAGGCGGCCAAAGAAAAGACCTCATAAAATATTTACACGTTGTACATTCAGCTTGCTACTACGCGACTCGAAAGAGCAAAAGAAAGAAAAAAGGAGGCTCCAGCGAGCGAGCAGGGGACACGTCGTCTCTCGGAAATTTAGTGCCGCGCAACCGTAAGTTCTTCGGATAGAATTTTTATGATATTGCATATCATCGCTCTGGAGAGTCGGTTGAAACGACATCAAAATGCACAAAACACTTTCTTGTAAAGGTGTAAATAGTGTAAGAATACGAAAAAAACAATTTTGTTGAAAAAGGTTTATTTGCTTCTCACTGGAAATTACCTGCCCAAACACACCATACGTTTATTCAATTATAAAATTAATCGCAAAATTATAAAAGGAAAACTCATGAAATATTCACTTTTTTAACGCTTTTTTTCTGTTTATATCACAATAAAATATAGTATATTCTATGAAAATAAGAAAAATGATAGATTATATACAGATTTACTAAGTTTTTATTAAATTACTTTACTTTGAATGCATGCACTGGTTATAATTAGTGCATAATATGATAATGATACCTTCAGAATTAAGTAATTCACATTCCATAAATAATATTTTTTTCTCGATTTCCTAAATAAATTTAAAAAAAGACTATTCGTATTTTCCAGTCATTGAGCACAATAAAATCGACAGTCCATAATGTCTGACTGGCGCTTTCTGTAACAAGGAGTTACCAAAATTTTAATTTACACAGTGTATTTAAAAGAAAAAATTCTCGGAATAAACAAAGAAAACGTCCTAAAATTTAGGTCAATAACCCTTCGAACAACAAACTGGTTGCTTCTACGTGCGGCCAAAAGCTGCTCTCTCGCCGCTTTCGCAATCAGATACACCCACATGAATTTTAATGGGCGCCCTCTCTCGCATTTTCATTTCTTTTATAGCACCCCCCATAGAGAGCAAGCAATGCCGTACAAGGCGTAAAGCCATAAAATAAATGTACACACAAGAAAACGCCTTCCTTTGTGCGCGGCATTTACATAGCCATTCATTATTATGTGGAGTGCGCGCGAGTCGCGAGTCGCGGCGCACCATCTAAATCCGCAAATACACCCAGCGGCGCTTGAAATAAAGCGCCCCAGCCAACCACATGGGCGGTCTCCACCCGAATAAATCCGTTTCGCTTTTTGGCGGCGACATACGAAACAAAACAACAACCGCATTTACGCTGATTATCTGAAATTCGGCTTGGAGAGGATGTGTTTTGTGCAGTGACGCGTGAGAAAGAGCGACTATTGCAGTGGCACGCGAGCGGAAACGGGCAAAAATGTAAATGCTTTTTGCGGTTCGCCGTCGAGTGAGGACAAATTGCTTTCCATCTGCGAAGAATTCTGGCACTTGCAAAACTTTGCAGAATGTGTTTAATTAAGTTCACATTAAATGCATTCTTTGCTTAAAATAAATTTTGTCTTAAAAAATAAAATTAGATAATATTTATAGTTCTGTTTTTATTAATTTATTTTTGTTTCAATATTGTGCAAATTTGAATCTATTTATTATATTTTTAGCTTTGAAGTTAAATGTAGAAATAAATCTTATTTTTTGTGGATAATTTTTATTTGTCATAGTCAGATGTCTACAAGATGTTATATATATGTACAGTTGCTTCAAAACAATTAACAAGAATATACGTAAGAAAAATTTCATGAATATTTGAAAAAACTACAATTTAGACGTAAATAATTATTAATAAAATCACCGTTATTACAAAATGATGTGAACAGTAGCTTATCTATGACTGTAACATAAAAAAATATTATCTGCCAATCACTGCCAATATCAGTTCTCCAAAAGTTTGGAATTTTAAATTGCGCAACCGAACTGTGCTTAAAGCAGCGTATGGCATTTACACAGAGAAAATGACGTCTCTCGCGCACGCCTTGGGCCCAACTTTGATTAATGACAAGTGTCAAAATGGTAGCTGTGCAGCCAAATGAGCCCTAATTATTGTTGTTGCAGACGGCGGCAGGTTCCATCCTCTACTCCGGAGCTGTCACTTCAAGGCCCTTCCACCACAGCTGCTCGTGACATACCAGAATGTCAGCATTGCGGTGAGTAATTTGCAAAATGCCTCTTCACACCATATTACAAATAATTGATTATGCTGATTTACATGTGTTCTGGTTTTAGAGGAGAAATCAGAGACACATATATCAATTTTTTGAGGTTACTTTTAATCAATTACTGTCAATCATTTTTTTTTTTAGCTAGTCTACCTTAATAAAATATTCGATCATGATGTTTAAATTTAGATTTCTTGTAAGGAATGAATCATAAAAATTAATGCACTTTTTGTAAGGGTTTCAATACACCTAATATACATTGGTAAATTATTAATTAAGTAATATTGTATCAGTAGATCCTATAGTATGATGTTTATTTTACGAATGAATTTTTTTCAAGTACTGAAAAATAAAAAAATTCCACTTTGGAAATTTTAGAAATTAATAATTTCATTCCAAAATTGTATAAAAACCATTTAGAAACAATTGTTACTACCAAATTTTAGAAAATTTAAAGTAAGTTTGAATATTCATCAGAAAATTTTTGAAACCTGACATTCTTTGTTTGCTCAACAATGATCTAGTTAATCTATAAACTTAATTAAATTGAAAAGGTATTTTTTCCCACTCAAACGCAACTTAATTCGCATTGAATAAATTTCCACCTTAATAAAAAGCAGCGGCTTCTCATTGGGACCGATTTTCCAAACGAGCGAATCCGATTCAGACAAAGTTTTCACGCAGCTCTCTCGGCATTTCGCACACTTCGTCTCTTTTTCGGCCGAGACTCGCTCGCTCTCTTTCAATCTGGCGCGCGCCCAGAGCAGTTTGAAGCAACTTTTTAATTTGAATTCAAAATTAATGGTGGAGAAAGCCTTTTGACATCATCCACCAGAAATTCCAGCCTTAATGTAAATTACTAATTAGTGCGCGCGTGAGGAGTCGGGAAAACGGAGAAGAAGAGCAAAAGAATGGAGCGAGCGTAATCTTTTGTGCGTCGGGCCCAATAGAGGTAGCAATTAAATACATCTCCGTGCAGCGCGCGTGTAGCAATTTTACACGAGAGCAGGCAACTTTCGGCGGCCTCAAAGAAGCACATCAGCCACCGAGGAAATGAGTTTTTTATGACTTTCGCCACGCCGCGCATTAAAATACGTACAAGAGACGAAACGCGAAAATGCTCTCAAAGCCCCGGGGCGGTCTGATGCAAATGAAAGGGTAATTGTTGATTCGCAGATGCCACGAGCCGTGCCCCTAATTGCTAATTCAAATTTACTGTGGCAATTAGCTACCCTTGGTAATTGACGCGCTTTTAATCGGCGATTTTCAATTGAGAAACTACCCCAGGCGAAAGGAGGAGCAAAGTTTGGAAACTCATTACAAGCACGTTGTAAATTTTCCTCTTCTACAAAAAAGCTTGAGATTCAAAGTAACCTTTTGGAGGAAATCTTTGAAAGTGTATTTAAAAAAATCTATATGCTCGGGAAACAGACTTTTTTGTTAATCGAATTTTGCTAGTAAAAAAGCTTCTTAGATTTTCACCATATAATTAACGTGTTTCAGTAATTATTTTCAAATTTGGTCTGTTGGCTACATAACGGCTTGATTAATATTGATCAAATTTAAAGCATCCATGGTAACAATGAGGTAAAACAATTAGATCTGGAATTCAAATTATAAATTTGAGTATTTAAGCAATCATTAAAATGAGTCATTATGGGTTGTCTTGTATATATATGGAATTATTAATTTTTTTCATTATTAAAATTAAGGGGGGTTTCAACTGATATCTCAACACTCAATATTTGTCTTGTAGCTCATGTAATATTTTACTGCCCATCGTCAAGAGAACGGGGATTCAATTTAGAAGCACCTAACGTAAGAGTGTTTAAAAAAAACTAACAAATGGAATCTTGGCAGTATAAGTCACTAGATTTCAAAATAGCACCTTAATTATTTTAAAGATCACTTATAATTATGTCAAATCCTCATTTTTTTTATAAGGAAACGGGATTAATAATGGTAAATTAAAATCGCAATTTCAACTATTTTCATATTTTTATTGTTGTCTTTTTCAGTTTCTTATTTTAAATCATCATTAATGTAAAAAGACCTTACAAAATTATATCAAGAAATAATTGTATCATTAAAAGAAATTTTATTTTGTCCATCTTCTCAGAGTTCAGCTTTTCCTTTTACTTTCTCCAAAGTTTAGTGTCGCACACATCGATCACTCGTCCCAGTACGTCTCCTCTAGGAAGTGCGAGCGAGCAAATTAGTCACGTTTTTATACTTTATTTCTCGCCAGTAAATTGCAGCAACATAAAATAAAGAGCAAGTTGCAACGGCTTGGGAAGCCGAAAGCAGAGGGACCGTGTCCATAAAACTTGACGGCCAGCAGGCCAATAAAAAATGTTTCCCGCCAGGGAGAGTAACTTAATATTGGGCAAAAATTAACGATCGCCATACGTCTAGCGAGTTAGAGGAATATAAATTCGTGCAGCCAAATTGCCTGGCTGCTTTTGCTGTGGGCGGGGGGAGGCAAAAGTTTGCCGTTCCGCGAGAGCACGTGATATTAAAAAGGTGCAGCCGCTGCTGCTTTCAGCTGGCAGGGAACGCGGTTAAGTCTCTCTCGGCAAGTACATAGACTCTGTGCCTTTGTCGCAAAGACGCCGGGGTGTAATTAGATGACAGGAGCTGTTTTATCCCAGCCTCTGATAAATGGAAGCAGCCTGGAGTGACACAATCATTAACATTGTCTTTCTCCTGTAAGAGCCGCTCTAGGTGCATAGTGGAGAGTGAACTAGTCCGTGCAATAAATCTACCTTCATATTCGTATCTTCCCCCTACAATAGAGCTTTATTGATGTTAAGTAGCGCGGAAGTTGATACGCAAATTAAAAATTCAGCCAGGCAAAAACCAACTGACGGAGCACCGGCGTTATTGCTTTTTGTGAAACTTGCAGACTATGTTCATTGAATAGGAAATTGCTTTGCAAGTTTCCTGTAAATCTGGTTTGTAGTATAAATGAGTTTAAATTCCTTACTTAGCAATTTCATTTTCAGGAGTTTGATTAGAAAGTTTGCTCTTCATATTAAGTTTATTAGTGTGAACAAAGACAATATCCGCCCAAAGAAGAGACAGTTTTGCTTGCAATAAAAAACTGAAGGATACAGGAGAAAAAATTTAATTAAATGTTTAATTGGAAATTATTTTTTCCGATTTTTGTTCATGCCCAATTAATATGATACCTGCAAAGCATCTTCATTTCCATTTTGATTAATACGCACTTTTTGAGAAAAAGGTAAGAAATTTTTGTAGATATAATATGATTACGATGTAGATCAAATTTTCTTTAATTTAATAATATTTTCTTTTGTGATTATTTCTAGCAGATACACAATTATTTTACCTTGTTGACACTAAAAACTAAAGACATTTATTTGAAAATTTTCTATTTTTATAGCTATTATTTTTGCATATTAATAAAAAAAAAATAAGCTTTAGTTATTTGTACACTCCATATTTACCTCCGCTACAGCTCACGACCAAAAATAATTTTTTAGTTTCTTTATCAAAAATAAAACTTAATGGTGTTAGAATCTCAAATCTCAAATTTCCATTTATTGAATTCTTAATTAAATATTTGCACACAAATAAATCGATAATTAAATTCTAAAAATGAAGCGCAGCTTTCGTTGTAATTTTCAAGAAAACCAGAAGGCATAAAAAATTAATAAAACTTCGGCAATATAAAAGTTCAGTGCAACAAATTAAAATGTAATTTAAGGCTGACAACGTGAGTCCAAATTTTAATGTATGCTTTTGTGCCGCAAAAACAATTTTTCACCGCCTGCAACTTTTTTCTTTGCTTGTAGACTCTTTTGAAACTGTATTAGATAGTGTCGCGAGGCATAAATAATACGCGAGCTCTTGTCGCTAGCTCGGTGAATTATTATTCATTAGCCGCGACTTGTGCCTCGCGTTGTCGTCGGCATTGTCGCCCTCTTTACTTTGCTGCGCGGGCTGAATTAGTGGCAAAAAAGCCGCGCCGCCACATGCGAGAGAGCGAAAGACGGGTGCTGTTCAGCTGATTGATTGTCTTCCGAAGACAAAGTTTGCCCAAGTCGGGCCCCGCGTGTGTATGCCAAAGGTTTTGCAATTAATTATTCGACGTCTGCCAGTAACCCGGCAGTTTAAAGTTTACTCTAAAGTGGATTCTCACTGCATATTCTAAGCTGATTTATCAATTTATTTGGAAAAACATAATATTTTCATTAAAATTTTAATGTTTTGCCTTTTTTACAATTCTAAATTTCAGATTTAAAATGAGTTTTGATTAATGATTATTTCTTAGAAATGTGGAATTTTTTATGTAAGATATTTATTTATTTTAGATGTACAATATTAATTGATTAATTAACTTTAATTTTGTTAATTTTGAAGTTTGTATTATAAAAATATTTTTATTTTTTCTCTTATTTGCCTATTGTTACAAGCAATTTCTATTAATAAAATTAATTTGTTTCGAAGGAATTTTGTGCCAAAAAAGCCTTACCACTAGCAAAGATTGCTTAAGATCATATTTCCCCGTGATTCGTTATGAGTCTCTGTCTCTCCTTACAATTAATTTTTTAATCTCTGTGTGGAAAATTGAGAATAATCATTATCATAGTGTGCATGCATGCAGACATAGAATAATTCAAGAATTCTATTATTTTAACACACTTGGATGTATGTAAATGAGGAAACTCAACAAGAAAGAGGCAATGGATTCAGTGACCAATTGACCATAAAAAAGCATTTAATTAATCTAAGGAGGTTACTTCAAAAAATTTATTTTATTTGTTTAATAATTTTATATTTTTGAAATACAGACCATTTGTCTTGAAAAGCAAAACAAAACAATTAGTTTTAAAATTTAAATATGAAAAATATTATTAATTAAATTAATAAAATTATACATGAAAATGTATAAAAACAACTAAAAATAAAATGTGGAAACATTTTTTGCTTTGTAAAACTATTTAATCAGTTACTTTATCAAAACTAAGAAAAAACTTAACTTAATACTATTTGGAAGTTCACATTTTCTCGTCATTACAGAAATCTCATTTCGTGTTTTATTTTAATGAAGCTAATATTTTTATACATATTTAATTTTATAATTCTCAAAGAGACACACAGATTCAAATTTGATTTGATAACAATTATTGTGAATCATTGGCTAATTTTTAAGTTATGATAAAAAAAACAAAATATATTTCCGAAAATCTTCAGTAGAAGAAATACGATCATTTTCATTTCAAATGTAAAAAATTGCAAAGCAAATATTGAATCCGCTTCAATCTAATCCAGGGCTCTATTAGCAATGTCAGGGTGGAGAATGAATGCGGCAGATTTTCTTTCAAACAGCACCCGGCTTTGGGCGACCCGACACCATGATAAATATGACGCGTTGCATATGCGAAATTCCGCTTGAGTTGCTCCGCGCTGGCAAAAGACGCAGACCCTTGACAGCCGGTGAAAAGTGGGCCCGGCGGCGGGTCGAGCTGACACGGCCAATGAATGTCCGCCGCAGCTTTTCTCCACGGCAGCAGTCGCCGAAAATTATCTCGAGCCGTGCTGATCAAAGTGCTGACTTGTGATTCCAGACCGACTCGAGGAAGGTGTTTCCCCACGGGGTTGAGGTGCTGGTGCGCTGCAGAGAGACCGGCCTGTTCAAACTGCTCGGCGATTCGGTTCTCGAGTGCCAGAACGGCGTCTGGAGCCACCCACTGCCCATTTGCATACCCACAACTTTGCTGACCAACTTTTCTGGTAACAATAAAATGGAAATGCAATAAAATATATTTATAAAATTTAGCACTTTTTAGTTACATAATTCCTTCAAAGCAAAATTTTGGAGAAATTTTGATAGCAAAAAAATTGGTTAAAAATGAAAGTTACCTTTAATAAAATTTAAATTTTATATTCAAATTTTATTCAAATGATTCCAACTTAGAAAAATTTGACGTTTTAAAGACCTTTCTAGACCTTACTTCTTTATAAAATTAGTAAATGCTAATTTTCATAAGCAGAGAATCTAATATATGTTAAAATAATTTTCTTTATATGGAGAGATACTCATAGTTTAGGTTGTACCTTAAAGCAGATTAAAAGAGGAAATAATGTCTCATTTTTCATTTTCAGAGGAATCCCCACCGACGATTCTAATAAAAGTACCGACCGGCTCGTCCGCTGTGGAGCCGAGAGGCGAGCTGGCAGTTTTTCCAGGGAGCATCATCCATCTCGAATGTGCCTTCACCAGGAAACTGGGAAACCCCGAATGGACTTGGACGTCAAAGTTCAGAGAACATATGACAGGTAGGAAAAGAAACAACAACAACCAAATTTATTGATAGCGAGAGTAAAAACGTTCTCTCAAACTCCAAGCGAATTGGGTAGTGATTTTTTTAGATAGAGAGTAGATAAAATTACTCAATTTATTTTATTCATTAGCTTATTGCATGAGATATTTTTTGAAAACTTATTTTTTAATTCATCGCCATCGTAGTTTCTTCGCTTTCATCTCTAACGGGGCAAATGCATAGTATCGTCCTAAAATTTTGAATTTAATTTATGTTTTCCAATTAAAATGAGAAGTGAAACATATTTTATCAGGAATGAAAATTATGTAATTTGGAAAAAATTAATCCTACATAATTTAGCCCCATTTACTTTTACATTAATTGAATTACCTATTTTCAGCCTTAAATTGATCTGGATTAAGAGAAAAAAAAATAAGACAATGAATACTTTATTTTAAAGAGGGTTGTATAAGACAATATTAATTAGAGTAATTATTTTAGACGCCTAAACTTTGAAGTTTGTTTTCACTGGTCTCGATCAAGCATATTGAATTTTCGACGTAAGACGACAGTAATTAATAACGCTCGGGGCGTAATATATTTCCAGGCAAACAATTCCACGTGTCATTCACCCCTCACGTGCCCATTGTTTATACTTGTCGCGAAGTCAACCCCTAAAGTCGGGCGGCTCAAGTTCTCACACATTGTTCTCTGGCCCGAAGGTGCACGGATAGATCGAATGCAAATGAGCCCCGCAAATGCCGCGTAAGCCCCAAAATATGCTGATAAAGGGGCATTGTTACAGCGGATCGGATTATTTGCGGTCGTTGTTTATATGTAGAAATGCGGCTTCCAAAGACGACGACACGCCGCTTTGATGAAGCCCTGGCTTCCTCCCTCATGCAATGCAAAACCAGCGGCGGAAGGGTTGAATACAAAGTAAAAGAGAGATAGTATATGATGATGATGAGCCAACGAACCAACCAGGCGATGTGTTACACGCTTGCTCCATGGATCTTCAATAAACTGCTCTCTCGCGGCGGCTGCTGGGCTAAACAAGCAGACGTACGGTTTTGCGGAGAGCGCACTCCAAAAGTGGGTTCAACCAACACTCGGTTTGCATTTCATCAAAGTTCGAATTTTCAAATTAACTTTGAATTTGCAGTATACACCCTCTCCGGCGGCGCACAACGGGCAAATATTTGCGCGTAAATATGTATAATGGGTTGCTCTGAAGTATAACCAGAAGTCTTCCTCACGGGTCGGAAAATAGAGGAATGCGTTCGTTAATTAATAAGTGAACTCGCTTCTATTAATGTTGGAACAGTTAAAACATAAATTCTGGAGCATATTTATTATACTACAATAAGTAATTATATGAAGAATTTTTGTTTCTTTTTGCATCCTGCGCTTTAATTAAATTTTAAATATTGATTGCTTTCAGTTTCTATTTTACGGGAAATGTTTACATTACTGCATACATAAAAATTTAACTTAGATCATGAATAGTTACAGTTTTTATAGTCTTCGGAAACGAAACAAATTCCTTGTAAATTTCATCATAAACTTTATTATGAGCAAGATGAGGAGAAACAAAGAACTGTTATTTTATGAGTAACCACAAAAGCTGAAAACATGTCCAATTGGATTTGATGGCTTTCCAACATTTTACAACCACGACGTGAATGAAAGTCATTATTTAAGAACATTTTGTATGATATATTTTATTAATTTATTGTTCGACTTTCATTTATATTAGTGTGGATACAAATGGTGACAAGAAGGAAATTGAATATTTTCTTCTTCCTATTTTTCAAACATTTTTTTACTACATATAAAAATTATGCTCAACTTCTTTATTACGTTTTGGTAAAAAGAAAATCTTTAAAATTTTACTGTAAAGCTTGATAATACATATTACAAATAATTATCTAACGCCCTTTAACTTTCAATAATTTTCCTATTTTCTTATTCCTAACAATAAGAAGAAAAAAAAACACATTTTTCTTTAATTTTGCCAGGGAAAAAGCTCTTTTTTTATGTGAATGTGCTCCCTCCTAAATATTCAAGTTGTTTATACTACAATTAAACTTAATTCGCATGCCTGATTTATGTTTCAATTGAGGTTTATTCTGTATTATCACTAAATTAGGAACTTCCATAATTTTCAAATTCTTTCAAACGCGATTATTTTGAAACATTAAAAATTCCAATATATTGCATCATTTTCTTACTTATTTCAACCCAATACCCTAAACAGAAAATGTCATTTTGGGTGGTGTAATTCAGAGCAAAAAGGAAGCAGGGCGAGCATCAGTCCAACCATCGGGTCCCAAACAAGATTTTTAAAGACGGCACGTAGTTGTTTTTTTGTGTGAGGGACGGGAGAGATAAGCAAGGGCCAGTGAATGACGAGAGTCTTCTCATAAATCTTTGAGCGGGACGAATGGCTTCCCGTGAACTTTGGACGTGCGTCTGTCTACCTGCTGAATAAGACGGCTGCAGAGACAGGCCGAAATGTAATTTGAGAAGCAGTTTTTGGGGTGTCGCAGCTGGGGTGATTAATTTGGTCTTGTATCGCGCGACCGCCGGCTGAGAAATGATTTTGCAAACTTGGCCTCTTTTTTGTTCGCAGCCAAAAATGATTAATTGCGTCGCTAATTGGAAAAGTGCTGAGTGCTCAATATGCAAATTGGTGCGAGCTGCCGGCGTATTATTTGGCCCCCTCGGAGAAGCCGCAGCAAAAACACGGCGTAAACGCGACCAGCTGCCGCGGAAAGTTGGAAAGTTTGATTTGAGACAAAAACTATTTCCAAAGTCGGTTCAGTCGGTCTGTGAGTTCTGCCTTGTCTTGCTAAATCGATTTGCTTAGAATCATCACAGTTTGTCTTCTGCAGGGGGTCCAGCTTTGTGCTGAAAAAATGTAGTGTACCATATTTTCAGATTTTGCATTTTAATTTTATAAGATTGACTAATTTTATTTCATGGACATGTCGTGAATTTTCTAAGAAAACAAACTGATTTATTTATTTTATTTTGGATTACAAACAATTTTACCTATCGCATGGAAGGATTTAAAAAACAAACCCTATTATTGAGAGGGAGGTTTGCAGCTTGGCAGATGAACACTGCAGAGGGAAATTTAAAATTTATTACCGCATCCACCTTTGCATAATATATAGAAGCAGAAAAACAACTCTCTGAATCGTGTGTCTTTTGCAAAACGGCGCGGGCGTCCGTCCTGCGAGCGAGAAAGTCGGCGGCGAGACACGGATTTTCCATTAGCGGGCTAAGAAATGAGATACAGATTACGTCACGACCAGAAGAAAGGAAAGAGTATCGCATCATCATCATCACTCTTGCGCGTCCGTATCCATTTCCCAGCAGTTTCGCGCTTGTTGGCTGCGCCGAGTAAAACTTTCCCACTGAAAAGAAAGTTTACCAAGTTAATAGATTTGAATTGCATTCTTGCGGCACAGCCGGGGAAAAAGGCTGCAACTTTCTAAATTGGATTTATGCATTTCTCGCACGGGGGATGATTCTCCCTTCGGTATTTTCTCCTAATATTTTGACTTACTGGTTTTTTTCAGTTGAAAAGCTTCTAAAGAAACATAAAAATCCAAGAATAAGAGAGAATTAAAATCTGTAAGCATTATTAATTTTTAGAAAGGTTAGTTGAGTGTAATTATTTTCACGGGTAATCTATTTGTATTTTTCCTGTGAATATTTTCAAAATTAAAATGTCTTAAATAAACAAATAAATTAAATTATAGTCTATTGTCTTCATCAAATGGCAAGCAAGCAATCATTAATTAATTAATTTATTTATTTTTAATGTTAATAAATAACGTTTGAAAACAAAAATTTTAATTTCAGATGTTTCTTGATTGTTAAAAATGCACAATAATTATATATGAAGGTTTTATGTTTTACCACTTTTCAAACATCAAATTTAATTTTTAAGACTTCTGAATAATGATATTTAACACGGAAAATCGCCTTTGTAACATCATAATTTAATTTTCGGGGCGATTGACTTTTTTGAGCAAAATAAAAACCCACTCTCCTGTTCCACGGCTCTTTGTATCGGCTTATTTCATTGCCGAGCACACTCGCCATCGCTCATAAAATCAAAGCACTACGTCCAATTAGCCAAAGCTCGGCAGAATTAATTAAGGCATCTCTCCCTCTGCCGATAATGCCGTTCAAACAAAAGCCGTTTAGCCAGATTGAGCTCTCGCTCGTCGTCATATTTCCACTGTGTCACCGTTTGCAGGGCGCGATACATCCGCAGTTTATCGAGCCGCCTGTGCTGATCAGACTTTTCATCGCAAAACGCGAAAATACGACTGAAGCGATCGCTCACTGGGCGAGAGTGAATAAAGCACTATGCGGAGGCGGCATTGATTAAAGTGAGACGCGCGATTTTATGGTTGCAGGTTGGGCCATGTCTGCAGAGGAACGTGATTGGAAGTACCGCCTCTCTATTTACTACAGCAAGCCGCAGGATTCAGGTGAATTCACCTGCACGACGCCCATCGGCACTTCCAATTCCATCACAATCAACGTTAAAGGTATCTTAATTCTCGATTATGAAATGTGCATTATAGGGCTTTACTAATTTTTTATTATTACACTGCAAATTTTAATAGTAAACAACAAAATCAAAATATTTTAATATTTTTTGTAGCTGAGAAATATATCACCAATTTTGCTGTGTATTCAACTTGATACAGAATGACGGTCATTGTTCATTTCCCAATTTTATTACACTCACGTTTAAATTAAAGTCGATAATTATCTCACCACATCAAATTTATCAAATAAAATAAACACACTCTGGCCCAATCCAAAAATATTAATTTTTTAATATCACCCGTGAGAAAACATTGATAACATTTTATTTTTAATTGTTTAAAGTTTACAATTTTTTTATTATGATATTATTTCACGATATTTATAAATTATTACATGTTTATAAGCATAAATGTGTAGTATAATAATAATTTAAAAACAAATTTAAAAAAAATTTAAAATTTTAATAACAAACTATGTTAAAATTTTTTTTAAATTTTGTACTATTTTATTATGTTACTTATTTAAGTTTTGGTAACTTTTTATGCATCTAAATAAAGATCAAATAATGTTCTTTCAATATTATAAGTGTTAATTTTGTGAATTTACCTGATTTTAGCCGTTCTGTGTCCACCCCTAGAGGTGAGTGACCCTCACGCGACCGCCCGAGTGGAGGGCAGTCGTCTCGGCCACACCGCCGTTTTCCATTGCCCCACGGGCTACTTCCTCAACGGCACCGCCAATTTGAGCTGCGAAGCGACAGGTAATTTTTGCAATAAGTAATTTCACTCCTTCGCAAATTTCTACACAGGCCCGAAATAAAGCTGCAGGCGGGCGTTTTTTACGGGTGGGCGAGGGCGAAAATTAGCATACTGCCGGCTCAGCAGCAGCGGCAGAGGCACTCTCTCGAGCAAATTTAATCTTTATCAAGAGCCATCGGCGTAATAGAACTTGTAAATACGTCAGTCGCGCGCTGGTAACGCCGGTGCCGGAGATAAAAATGAATAATACACTCTCTATAGGACGCTCTCTCGGCGGTGTCGTATTAAATTAAATTTATCGCCGAGCCGGCTACAGGACTGGCGGTGAGAGGTTAAGTAGCTTTTTCGGCATTAAATATTCAATAAGGCCGGCGCTCTCTGCATGCTCACTTTGCAGCCACTAGTGTACGTACTTGCACACGTACATGTACGTTTAACGCGGGCACACGTCATTAAACATTGAGCGCTGTGGGCAAAATTAATATTTCACCGCTGCGGAATCTGAAGCGCCTATGACGGATTTTCAAAGCTGCCATGAGTGACTATAATTTGTCAGATTACAAGCGCTACGACTTGTAATCAAATTAGTTTGAGAAAGTTAAATTTTAAAAATTGATTTTAATGAATCTTTTTTAATTTTGAATTTTTTAATTCATTTAATAACCAAATATTTAATTTAAACTTACACACAGAAAAAATTATATTAATATTGAGTTGTGATGGAAAAAAATCCAAAATGAGACAAATTATATCATTATAAAAACATTAAAAAATTTATTGAAATAATTTTTTTTTATTATACTGCCATAATATTATAATTTTTTTTTTATTTTGATCTCCCTTCAAACTTTTTTATTTTATATTCTTGTCTAAAAACTTTAAACAACATTCACTTTGCAGCCTCTATCCTTATCTGGCAGCAGTTAATGACTAGATAATTATTTGCAAAACTTACAATTAAATGGAAGAAACTTGTAATTTTAATAATAGAAGAAGAAAAGTTTACATTCACTTTATCCCAGTGAAACAAGGAACATATATTTTTAATTAAAACTCCGCCTCCATTCTTTAGCTAAAGCCTTTTTTGCCAACTTTTCTCCTTCTGTGTAAATATGTAATGAGCTGGAATGCGTACATATTCACGGTGCACAGCTACTTGCCGTGTCTCCCCGAAGGTTTCTTTATTTCCATTGTATTTCCAGAGATTGCGCTCGGCTCGATGTACACTAGCACAATGCGTGCTTAAATAGAAAAAAGTTGGCATTTCTTGAACATTGCTTTCCTTCTGGGAGTACGTTTGGCACAGGAGTTTGCGATAAAAAGTTGTGTGTCTGCTGCAGGTTGGCCTCTTAAAATGAATACGTGGAAGAGAGCGCAGGAAGAATACGCATGGGGCAACCGATTCTTGACATAGCAGTCTTAAAAAAAATGAAATCCTCTTGTATTTTACAACATTGAATTACTTACTGTCTAACAATAAGAAAAAATATTGTTTTATCAAGATGAAGCTTTAATGTGAATCCTACTATTTTCTTGTAAGCTCAAGTGCGTGCTTGAAGCTTGAATTTAAAGTTATGGTACTTTTATAAGCAAGTAAAGCAAAAATTTTAAAGTACAAAAAATTGACAAGGCGAAATAAGAATTCGGCACTACGATAGTCTGTTAATTAATTAAATTGATACATCGTTAGATGAAAAAAAAAATACAATTTTATATCTGCATAAAAATTCTTAAAATTAAATTTTTTGCCTATCCTCTTTCAAAGATTAGTTGATTTCATTTTAATTTATTTAATCGTTGTAATAAATTTTCATCATAAATATGAGTCAAATGCAAACTGGGGAAGATTATTATCCAATTTAATTACGTTAGTGAGAAAATCAGCACTTGGAACAACAAACTGCCTTGGCAAAAGTGCCAGCAGAGGGAATTACAATATAATAACAGCTGAGGCCTCGCAAATTTTCCTTGTAAGAGGATTAGCGTCAATATGTGCGGGGAAATAAAAAATATAAAGGAGATTACAAGGGGAGTGTGTGACACACACTAGTGCTATTTACATTACATATAATCCTTTTTCTTGACACCAATAGCGAAATTTAACTGTTTTAAATTAAAATAAAACTGCAGTGGTTTAGACAAAGTTCCAATAATACTGTAAAAAACTTGATTTATGAATTTATGGATTTATCCAGATAAACCTGTACAGAATTAGCAAATAAGTTAATAATTGATATCACTGTTTTGAAGATTGTTTTGAAATAATCTCAGACTGATATTATTTTTTTTTCGGTTCTTTATTCTGGCACTTCCCCATTTGCAAATAAACGAAGACTACGGAGAGTATCAGCGTTATGTATTATTAAGCTCTCTCGCGCGCCACCAGCAGGCCCTGATGCGCCTCTGGCTTTTGTGCAGCTAAAAGGGAAAATATTGTGCCCGAGGCAATTAGGTCCACAAGACGAAGTAGTGGTGGCAGAAAAAGCAGCAGCGCCGGCTGAGTGGAATCCTCCTTTTAATTTGGTCCTTCTTCGGTTGAATGGCCCGTTTGCACTTCTCAAATCGTCTTCGAGATTGAGTCGCGCGGAAAGAGGTTTTGCTGATGAAGGTTGCTTCAAAGCAACCAACATCACAAGCTTCACTGATGGAAAATCTCTGCAATTTTTTTTTCATTATTTATACTTATCTTTTTAGTTAAACTTATTTTTGGTGCAAGATATTTGAGGTACTTGAACTTAAATTTAATTTTCCCGTCACAGTAACTAAGATAATTTTAATAATTTAACATCCATAATTACAAAAACACGAAATTATTACAATTGATTGCTTAACATATTCTATATGAAACTTCCTAGATTGCCTAAATTATATAAATAAATCAATTTTGCATGTTAAAATTTAAAAGGATTAATGTAGTGTATTAATTATTTAACTAAAATAAATTATAAATAAAATATTAATTAAAATAAAAAAAAAAAATTAAAATTACTCTTTTAGTTTATATTTATTAAAAAAAACTTGAATATCATATTTTAAAATTGTAATTACTTTTATTTAAGGCAAATGGTCCTCAGCTCCTCCAAAATGCCTGCCTGTGCAGTGTCCGCAGATAAACCCCGTTGACCCGAGACTGGCCGTCGAGAACACTAACAGGAGCTATGGTGGTCGAGTGACCTTCAGCTGTCCTTGGGGCTACAAACTGACAGGGCCGCCGAATCTTGAGTGCCAGAGCACAGGACGGTGGTCTGGAAAAGTGCCTCAGTGTCAAGCGGTCCACTGCCCACCGCCCCAACCGCTTCCAAACGGAAGGATTCTGGAAACTGGTGGACAGGCCTTGTCTGATGGCAGATACTCGGTGGGCAGCGCCGTCCAGTTCGGGTGTGCAGAGTCTTATCAGCTGATGGGGGAACCAACCATCGTCTGCACCGAGAGAGGCTTTTGGTCTCACTCTCTTCCTTTCTGTAAGTATAATTATTTTAATTCAATTTTACTTAAGGTTAATAAATTCAAATTTATGCAGGGTTTATTTTATACAATTTTTTCCCTTATATATTGAATTGATTGGTGAAAATGATGAAATTAATTTTATTGCGTTCCATTAGCATTAAAAAATAGATGTTGATACTTTTGGATTATTTAAAATAAAAATTCTGAGTTTAATTAATTCAGGATTATTGAAAGATTGCTTTCAAAACCAGGCAAGTAGAAGTAGGGATACTGACCCGCCATACCAATATGATGAACAGGTTGCATAGATATAATTTGTTTGATTTATCTTTCTTTATAATTTTTTTTTTTATTAGAATAGGGATATTAAGTTTGAATCAATTGAAAAAAAATTTTCGCTTTTTGGGACGATATCATTTATCAATGAATGACATTTTAAATATAAATTACTACAAGTACATCAAGGAAAAACTGAGGGAAAAAATAAAAAAAATAAAAATAAAAAACATGAAAACGCAATGCAACTTTTCCCGATTCAAAATTACACTCTTTTGAGCTACCCAGACTACCGCACTTTTACTCTAGAGTGGTCGCGTGGAAGAGGTTTTTTTCTCTTTGCCTGCGGAGAATTGACTTGTTTAGACATCATCTCTGGAATGAACCTCTTTTACGTCGGTGCATAAATAGAAACGTATAAAAAGAGAGGCACTCGGCGTGCCGTTGTTTTGATTAAATATTTAGATTCAAATTTTGACCGTGGCAACGTGAGCGAAATAAGGGGTCGCTGCAGATAAGCGTGATCTAGGGGGAAGTGCGGTGCAAACACACATACGAGAGGAGGCAAGGTGCAATTTGTTTGGAAGCACCCCAGAGATTTCAAAAGACAGATTGTTGTGTTTGTTCTGCGGCAGCAATGAGCTGCCGCTCAGCCAACTCTTTTTTACCGACCGCCGACGCCGAGCAATGACGAAATAAAATTTTTATTTCCCTCCCCCAGACGTGTGCTTCCACCCTTGATTTTATCTGCAGTTTTTTCTACTCTGGTCTGCAGAAGAGTCTCTTTGAAATTTGTTTTTTGTTTTTTCAAGAAAATGGGCTAAATAAAATAGTCTGAAGAGCTGGAGAAAAAATCTTCAATTCAAAAAGGGGAAACCAAAATTAATATTAATTATTCATAAAAAATTTTATTTGTATGTTATAAAAGTGGTATAAGTTGAAAGAGCTTACTTTAGAAAAGGAAGGTAAAAATACAAAAATATAAAAATTTTTAACATTAAAATGCTCTATGAAGTTCAGAAAATCAGAAGCACACCAAAATGATAGAAAACAAAAAAATTTGATATCATTTACAAAGGTTGGAATTAAAAAAGGCTATTAACCCCTTCCTAAAATTAAGGGAGCATATTTGAGAAAAATGTATAAATCCTTGTCATTTATTATGTACGTATTCACTTATTGATTAAAATATCATTTTTTTATTGAAATTTAATTAAATTGAAATTATGCCCAAATATTTTGATCCCGCATTAATAACTTCATTAATTTTCATTTAACTACTTTCTCGTTTTGACCTTGAGAGTCAGACGGTCGACATTGGCCAGTGCCCATTACCAAGTTTACGAGCTCAGAGGGTCTTGCGCGTAATTATGGAAGAGCAAAGGGCAGTCCTCGATTCAGATGTGCTAAATACGGCTGGCGAGTGCGTGTGAGGGGTCGACTGACCATTAATGATGAAACTTAATATTAAGCTGCCGGCGCAGCAACATCGTTAAATGATTTCACTCTCAAGTTTCGCCGAGTCTTAATTGCGGAATGTTTGCCCACTCGTGTTCAAATGCTGGCGGATTCGCCTCAGAGAATAAGTCGCCTGCGCTGCTCTCGGGCAAATAATAATGAAATTCTTCTTCCAACTCATCAAGCACGCAGGCAATGAGATTAAAAGTACAATATTTGCGCTCCCCAGAGTCCACTGGAATAAAAGTCTCCGCCGGTCTCCAATGCGTCTCTCTGGCAGAAATAAAAGATATTGCTTTATACTGGAAAAGATGAAGAACTGATTTGGCCGAGAAGGGAGGAAAATTCTGGGAAACAATTTATTCCTTTATAGAGCAAAGAAAAGAAAATCCTTTGTCCTCAATTCCTCAATTACGCACTCCTTCCAAATTAATCACCTTTTTTCATCTATCCTACTCGATATGTTAAGGAAAAGTCATGTAAAAAATTATTAAGGTAGAAGCAGACTTAAAAACAAAAATTTTCTCTCATTCTTCAGCGGTTTTCATAGTGTGAAAATTCTGCATTCGTCAATTTTATCAGAAAATTGATATTTTCCGTGAAAAGAGTATGATGTATTTTTTTCCGTCAAGAAGTCGTTCAAAGAGTGAGAAGAGGGCCTTTTTCTAAAAATAAATTTTAATGAATACATACAAAAGAGGAAAGCTCGCTTTTCACATCGTGAGCGTCTCTTCAAATGAATTTTCGTTTTTTCTAATCAAAATATATTTGCAAACATACATATTATTCCTTTCGAATATAGCATCAATTTAGCAAAGAGATACAAATTCACTACTTGAAATTGTGTATCGTAAAAACCCAGCATCTGCGAGATGTAATTAAATGTTCTTTTTAAAGACGTTTTCCATTCTAGTAAAAATTTAATTTAACTTCCAAATAATGCTGCTCTTTACTTGTCTTCATTTGAATTAAATCCTGCTCCCACTTGTTAATTTTCTATTTGCTAACAAATAATGCAGTAGAAATTTAGCAATTGAGAATTCATGTGTGTCCTTCCCCCTGCAGGCCATAAAACTATTATCTGGCCCCCAATAAAAGCGATTGCTGCGTGATCCTTTTGCACGGGCCAAAAATCCCCTGGCCGCTTTCACTTGGAATGGAACTCAAAGCTGATTGTTTTTGGTCCTTTTTTATTGCTTCGCAGGCAAGCCGCGGTGTTCGTACCCAGGTGACCCGGTCAACGGCCACATCGCGCCAATAAAATTTTACTACGAGCCCGGCGATCACGTCAAGGTGACGTGCAATCCGGGCTTTGTGGTGCGCGAGCGAACGGCCACCTCGAGACCCACGTGTCGCCCCGACGGCTCCTGGTCCGAGAAAATGCCCACCTGCGTCGACTACTCGGAAGTGTAGAGAGAACAGAGATTGTGCCCAAGAACTGTGTTTGCATCGTCTCGCGTTCTCATCTCTGGCCGTGCAAACGCCGCCTCTCCTTGATGTCTGTGTGTGTAATTTGATGTGGCTCTTGTGGCTCTAGATGGAACAATAAAAACGGCGCAACTCTATATAAATAAAGCAGTTTGCTCCTCACTGTTGGTAACAAGTTTTATTCCTCTCGAGTTTCATTTTGCTACATTTCCTTTTATTTACATATCAATCTTAAAAGCTTCAAAGCAACGTCTTATATTTATATATTCATTTCACATTAAATTCAACAGATGAAATCATATTTAAGGAATTGAAAAATCATGATTTTTATCCAATTTTAATTAATAATTGTAATTTTATTATAATTTCAACGATTTCTATAAATTTAAAACTACGTAAGACGAACGTGACGATCTTCTAAAAAAATTATATTTATCAGAGGTACCTAAGACACAACAAATCTGCAGTATAAGGTACATGGTAAAAAATTTCTTACTTAGTTAGAATTATCATGCTAACAATTTTTTGCTATTAAACTACTTGTTAAATTTTAAACAAAATAAAAATTCATTTGCCTGCGTCAACGAGCAATCTAATTTTCATAGGGTTCTATAATAAAACATAATGAGTAAATTGCAACAAAAAATTTAATTAAAAATACAAATCATAATATCATGCAATGCAAGCTAACTCAATGCAAGATGAGTTTTTTATATATGTATATTTTTTTTAAATTTATTTTTCTGAATGAAATTAAAAAAAAAAAGTAAAAATACCCCTATAATTATATTTATAGCAAAAATTTAGTTTATTGGAAATTGACTACATTCGAGAATCGTTTGATGAGAATTTTTGCGCGTGAACAGTTGCGAGAATCATTTCTCTGATATTGGAACCCACCACCCACCCATTTTCAGCATACTGCATGCGTTCTGTTTTACTGTGTGTACAGCAAAACAAGCTTTTGTGTGTGTTATGTTTGTCTCTTTGTATTATCAATCTAACACGCGCAACAAAAAGCCGACTCCTTTGTGTTGCGATCGCAAACAATTTGGCGGCAAAATCAAAACGAAAAGCTGACTCAGGATTGCCATATTTGGTGCCAAATCATTTCGAAAACACAACAAATAATCCCGCATGGCCATTGTTCGTTCTAACAGCCTTTTCCACAAGAGCTCGGCGGCGGCACCAAAAGCAGCTCCCCCGAGAGGCAGAGGACTTTCAATTAAACACTATATTGTTCTCCGCGCGCGCTGTTTACAGTAATTTGCAACACCAAGTCTCATCGCCATTGTCTCCCGACTTGCCGAAATAATTGCTCCAAAACGCGTGGTAATTGCATGAATTATTTATGCGACGAATTGCGTTTCTCTCTGTCCCTGGAGTTGAGAGAGCGCCTTCACTAATTCATCAGCCTCCGAGTGAATTTGGTTTTGAATAAATCGCAACCTTGTTCAATCGATGTGTGGCTTCACGCACTTGAGACTCTCAATGGAAAGCGCTCCGAGTTATGTACTTGATACAAAGTTGAGCACCAACCAGAGACAGCCAGATGTATTATAGAGTTTGGTCATTATGCATCCAGAAACAACCATTTATTGAAAGATTTACGCGCTTCAAAAGTTTTAATGAGCTCATTTTGCGGGACAAATATGAGAGCATTGATTCTTTTGGTTAAATTCGTGATTAACATTTCTATACAACGGTAAAATTTTCTCATTCAAATTAGTTTTACTAAGGGGACGTAGTTATTCTAGGCCATAACAACAAGATTATTGATATAATGTAACATAAATTGTATAGTAAATTTTAAGCATTATAAATCTGAGACTATTTAGTACCAAAATAGCACTAAAATGTGCTGAAAATATTATATATTCTAACCTCTATAAATAACTATCAGCAAACTGTGTGTTTTCTTCAAATATTATTTTCTCTACTTCTATAACTTCCTGTTCATATTTTTTAGTGTAATTTCTTCTTATGTAAGCTTCAATTGCACTCTCGTTGCTCAAGACTCAAGTAGATTGCTTGGAGTTTTCCCCAAGGCCAAAAGTTCTACGTGGCATATGCTGCAGAAAAAAGCATGTTTGTTAGTTCTGTTCTTCTCTTAAACTCCCAAGCGCAGATCGACCATTACAAAATTCTCGGAAGAAAAATAACTGCTCGCAGTGAGCAAGTTGAGAAAACTCGCATATCTTCTTTAAAGAGGTACATAAAGGAAAAGTCGTGCACGCAGTTTTCCGTTTTAAAATTATCCTCCAAGGCAGAAAGTTAAGCGGCCATCGGTGCGCCGCGCGCGGAAAGTTGGCAAATAAACTCGTCAAGATATATTCTGCGTATGCTTTGTATGTATGGTAGGTACCCCTTCTATAATCCCCGTCGCCATGAAAATGATATCCTGGAGCCAGCAGTTGTTGGAAAACGTGCGTGCATCTGTCACCGGTGGAGTGTTTACGGGGCTGCCGTCGCGGTAAAAGCTCCCAAAGGTTTTCCCACCTTCGGGCCTCGCGAGTTTTTATTAAAAAAGTTGGCTTTGCACGGCGCGCGCCTTTGTGTGCGCGATTTGTTCGCTCTCACGCCAAAAGAGCAAAGGTTTTGACGGTCGGATAAAATAATTCATGGCGGCCACCTGTCATACCGAACCGGCTTCTGTTATATCAAAGTTTGTGTTTGCTCAGTAATTACAACGGAAAATGAATGGAAAATCGAAAATCTGATTAATTGGAAAAGTGTAATAACTGCAGCGACCGTCACGTTCAGCAGGTATTTTTCAAAGAACGTTTGAATATTAAATTTTACAAAAATTTCGGTAACAATTAAAATAAAGTTTTTCAGCTAAAAAGACAAAAATATTTAAATCTCAATATTACAATTCGATTTCTTAATTTTATTCTTCGTAAATTTAAACTCCAGATTTTTGGAATCAATAAATGGCTATTATTGTTTTAGAATTTGTTATTTATTTTTTCTGTTCTATTATGTCAAGAGAAAAACCATTGAAAATTATTGTTGTGAATTATTTTACTTAATTTTAATACTGACAATGAGGACAAAAGAACGTTGTCCTATATCATGAGACTCCCAATTAAAAAAAAAGTAATAATAACACTTACTGAGTAAGAATTTTGTAGAAAACAGAGCTGAATAAGATTTGAATTGAACTCGAATTTTTCCATAACTCCTTCCTGTGAAATTTGATGAGAGTAAATTTCACTATTGAGGTCATGGAAATTATTGTAACAGTTTGCAAAATGCAATCAATGCTCCCTGCTCATTGTCAGTCGAATTTAATTTATAAAAAGTTCTGGAAAGTTCTACTAGTAAATATTTTTGTATTTTAGAAAGAGATTTTCCCAAACTTACATCAGATTTGGACAAGAGCATTTAATTCTCTTTCTAAGTTTACGGGCTGGTGTGTCTCGTAGGTTGAGGGATTAGAGGGCCAAGATTTTTGCAGCCGTGCCAAGAAATTAGGATAATCAGTGAAATAGAAGACGGTCTCCGGATTAAAACATGACTTAGGGAAAAGTTGTGCCAAAAGTGTGCGAATGGGGCTTTTAACAAATGGGGACCGAGGAACACAGCGCGCATTTTATTATCATAATATTGACTCACGCGGAAAGCCGGGCTCTCGGAGAAGGTTTTCTGAAAAAGCGGCGGCGAGCCGAGCAATATTTCATTCGAGCTAGTTTTAAACTTCTCCCTGATATCTGGAGCACTGCGAGAAAGAGAGATATTACATCTCTTGCGAGACTCGAATGGATTCGAGAAAATACACTTTATTCGCGCTCGGCGAGAATTGCTTTTGCAAACTCGATTCCGCAATATTTCACCGCCCATCAACGCAAATATGAAATCACACACACTGCATCAATATGCGATAAAAATGGGCGCATATCGCCGCTCAAAATGTAATTTATCTTGGCTGACGTGCCGCGCGCGATTTGATACGCCCTCGCGGCGTGATGTAATCTGCCGATTCGAGACACGGCTGGGGGGAAATTTTGCTTCACTTACCGCAGTTGGTGGTGTTCCTGGCTCAACTTTGTAACTTCTGCACAGAAAACTTTGCTTTAGATGGAAATTTTAATAATAGAACCAAACTTTGATTGAACTCAAAACACAATTACAATTAATACAGTCTGATTAATTAATGAAAAATTTCTCAAGAATTCGTTATTAATAGATTTCCCTTCTATTGATTTTGTTGTTGTTGTAAAATTATATGCATTTTCATGAAGGCTGTGAATATATTGCATTTTTATGAGTATAGATTTATGGATTGATTACGCTTCCAGAGCGCATAAGTAATTGTTTTTAATTTGCTTAAAACATGTTAAAATTGTTCCAGAAATTAACATAAATAAATGAAATTTTTCACAAAATATACCTGTATTTACCCTTTGATAATTTTCTACATCACAAGCATAACCTTTTTTGCAATTTGTTAATCTCAACTGTTTTCCTTAAAAGAGTTTTTTTTTAATACATATTACCTCTATGCTTAAAACAATACAAAACTATTAATTTTTTTTTGTAGAAATAAAAAAAAAATCCTGCATTGAATATAATTTTAATTAGGACTTTTGCGTTTCGCACGTGTTTTTAATGAATGGTTATTCACACAAAAATTGCTGTTGATACACAAAATCACTCCAGTATTTTCTCTCTTTATTTATATAATTCGTATTTTTAATATAAAGAAATATCAAACCAGAGTTTCAAGCTTCCTTGATCAGCTTCGCTGAAATCACTAGCCTCTCTGCTCTGCCCCGGTCACTGCCAAACAGCAATCATCGCAAATTGAGCTGCCACGCGGCTCCAAATAATTACAGATGAATAGCCTGAGCTGACGTGACAGGCAATAGCGGAGCCCTTTGACAGGCAATCATAATAAAAGAGAGAAATATCGGCCCTTTCGCGCAGCTGTTGTAGCAGCGTCGACGTGCGTTCTGCCGGGGCTATCTTCAAAAGTTGATGTGCCGGAAACAACAGGACCCGATATCAGCTCCACAAGAGGACCGAGGCTTTCTGAGGGATTTGCTGAAGGAAAAAAAAAGAAGAAGTGCTCTTTGAATTAAATACCAATCCAATTAGAAGAGAAAGAAAGTCTCCATTTAATTGGGCGAATGGTTTCGGCAAATAGGAATTTCAATCGTGTCTGTTTTGAATTGCAAAGATGGTCCTTTCGAGATAATTAACCCGGCCCCTTTGAAAAAACTTCAAGCTTCAGGGGTTGTGATTGCAGATTGATTGATTGCGCTGCCTTTCCCCTTTTACTTTTTAGTGTAAAAAACATCGCAGCTTTGGTTTGGGGATGCAGCTGCTGCCCTTTGGTCCCTGCACTAATTAAAAAAGGGTCAAACGAGGTGGTCGTCGTTTTATTTTAATTCGCACAATAAATCAACTTGATTTATCGCTACGTGTATCGAGAAACAAAGAATACACAGGAAACAAACACGACGTGCTCTGCTTTTCCGTAGTTGGCATCCGATGTGCTCTGGAGAATACCAAGCACCAACACTTAGCACCGGCTAATTGATCATTGATTTCTGTCTGGTGCTTCAAAAGAATTGAGCAATTCAATTAGCGAGAGCGTCCGACGGACTAAAGGCGCCCTTCAGAACTCTCCATAATAAAATAAAACCGATTGTGCGAACGCTTTTTTCTTTTGTTAGAAGAAGGAACAATGCTGCGAAAGCTACTCTGAAAGCTCTCGGAAATTTTAAGGAAAAAATTAAGCGTTGCAAAAATGGAAAGCTCGGACTAATTAATTCTCAAGTGGCCGCTTCTCCGCCAAAGGTTAATTCTATTAAACGCAGGCAATCGCGCGTGAAATGGAGCGTGCAGCAATAATAAAAAGAGTCGCACAGAGAGTATGTTATGTAATCGAGTACATTCCGTCCTTTTATTATGTTATGTACAGTTGACTTCATTAAACAAGCAAATGATAATCTAGCCTCAGTAATTACTTTACCGTTTTACTTACAATTAGTTTCTACAGACATTTTATACACTGTGAGATCGCTCAAGATCATTTTCCAGTATTGAGATTAAGGCTATTGAAACTTTGGATTTCGGATATAAATATACAAGCATGGCCATTTAAAAATAAGTTCCATTTAGATGGTTGTTTTAAAGGGGTTGTCTAATTTCATGACACAAGGTGAACTTTTGGCATTTTTATTGATCAGATTTGACATTCCATTTTTTAAACGTAATAAACATTGAAATAATAATTAAAATACTGATCCAAAATGTAGACATCTTGAATTTTGCGCACCGTAGTGCTGTGATTAAGTGCATTTTAAAAAAAGGACATCAAATCTCATTGATCATTTTCATCCAATTTCAATCAATTTTAAGATCAAAATAAATTCATTGATTTAAAAATTATTTAAAATATGCATTTTTTTATCAGGAAGCATAAAAAAATAAAGAAACAAATTTTGAAATTCATCTCTGTTACTTTTTCAAATAAATAAAAATTCATAAATATTAAAATGGAATGAGAAAACTGCATCCATGCGATGCAATTATAAGTTAATTAAAAACATTTCAACGGCCTTTTTTCATTTTGCCTTGATACAACAAAAAACTGCATAAAAATTTATCCCCAAGCACACAATCCACCAAGATTTCTGAGCGAAAATTAAATAGGCCAGCCACTTGACTGGTCGTTTTCAAACAAAAAGCACTGGAGCTCAAACTCGGCGCTCAGTCGCACGCTCATTTTCTCACGCACAGTCTCCCTCATTAACACAATTAAGCAGCAGAGTCTCGCTCACATTCGACACAAGAGTGTTTCCCCAGCTGCAAACTTTTCACAAGTACGTGCACACTGAACGCAATCACCGACCGGTTGGTTTATTTTTGCTCTCGGGGCGGATGAAAAGTTGCTGGAAAAATAATACAACACACACTTGTCAGCGCGAGTAAGTCAGACTTGGGTGTAGTCGACGCAGCTGGGGATTTGCTCGGACCACGAGCCGTCCGGGCGACAGGTAGGTCTTGAAGTGGCGGTGCGCTCGCGGATCACGAAGCCCGGATTGCACGTCACTTTGACGTGGTCCCCGGGCTCGTAATAAAACTTGAGCGGCGCTATGCGGCCGTTCTCCGGGTCTCCTGGGTACGGACACCGCGGCTTGCCTGAAACACGAGACCAACAGAAAGTTGCTTAGTTGCTGATTGAATTCTACGACCGTTGATAATCTGGTTTATGTCCGACGTGAGACTCACCTAAAGAAAAGTTTCAAAAGCTTTAATGCAAATATATTTTATTATTAATCTGACAGGGTAAAGTAATGATTAAAACAATTAATTAATTAAAATTATTTTAATATTGTTACCAATTTAAGTAAATTTTTTTCACTTGTTTGTTACATTAAAATACAATTTTATTATTGAATCATCAAAATTTACTTTATTTAGTTTTTAGCTATATATTAATAAAGACTCGTTTTCATGCATTGCATTAAAATCATTTTAAATTAAAAAATTTAAAAAAAAAATTCATATAAAAATTTGAAACCATACAATTTCATGTAATAATGTATAATATCAGAGATTAAATAAATTAACTTTAATTATAAATGTTTTTCCTAGATGACCTATATTACATCCTCTCATATGCTGACCAGTTGATTCTTTCATTGAAAAGGCCCGTCACAGAATCATAAATAAAAAAATATGAATACAATTTTCTACGATTACAAATATTTCAGTTTTTATTTTTTGCAAATAAAATTATTTGATGCTGAATTTTATTTTTTGGGCTTCTACTTTTTTTGTTCAAATGTAGATTTGTGTGTATTTTGGTATTTTTAACAATTTATGTTATTATATCAATAGAAAATTGATGAAAACAATCAACTTGAAGTTTTTTCTCTTTCATAAAACAGCATTAACTGCAAAACTTATTCTTTTTTTTCTATAATTGTAAGTCAACTCATTCAGCAAAAAAAAAAAAAAAAAAAACGAATGCCGCAGCATCAAAGCGCCTCAAAGTAACAACTTGGCAGAGTGCATGACTGTATTTAGCATTCCATTCAACCATTCTCATTAGATAAGCGAGAATTTTCAGGTGGAAAAAGACGCGGTTATTCAGCAGTCGGTTGGCCCCGCAGCAGCAATATCGGCTGCACTCAAAGCGAGCCGAAGAGGCTACTTTGTATTCAGAGTTGCGGCCGCCGTTTGATGGTGTGCAGCGCAGCCAGCGGTTTAGACGGATATTGGTCGGTCGGCCTAATTACCCTGCGCGTCGCTCACCTCATCCATCTATAGCTCACGTGAAAGAGCAAAAATTGCACACCCCAACAAGCGGCACTCTCTCGCAAATACAATTATTATTTCATGGCGGTGGAGCGGAATTGGACGCTTTTTTTCCATTTGCGGTGGCGAAACCATACCAAGTACCGAAAATTTGTTCTGGCAAAAGGGATTAATCACCACAACTCTGAACGAAGAGACCCCCCCCCCCTCTTCAAATATCTTCGTAAAAAACGACTCACAAAATTTGAGGCTTAAATTATAAACTTTTTTTCAAAGATAGTTTGTTTTATTTTGTTTAATGCGTAAACTTTAGGTGGAGGCCAAATTCAATAAATAACGCATTGAAAAACAATATTTAGAAAACACGCTAGGATTTTAGTGTCCATCAATTTCTTTAAGTAATAATAAAATTAAATTTGATTTATATATAATCACAAATCAAGCTTTATTCAAATCAGTTTTAATGAGAAATTTTCAAAAAAAAAAAAAATCTATCTGTAGACTCCAACCACAATACATGCATAAAGGTAAATATGTATAAATTATGGCTTGGAGCGTGCAATTGTCCGGTTAAATTGAAAAGTAAAGAATGTTTAAAAATAAATATCAAAATTTGCTCTTCTGCACAACATACTTCTTGTAAGTTAGAGATAATGGTATTTTAATAGTGCAATTACTACAATTTCATAGATTTTTAATACATGATTATTATATTTTTAATTTCCTTAATTAAATTTATCAAATATAAATGACTACACAGTTCAATGTTGTGAAAGTCTCGCAGGTTATTCTAACAAATAGTTCATCTGAACTATTGTTTAAATTAATTTATTTTATATATTATACGTGATACAATTAATAATAAAAATTTATTTTGTATTTTAATTGTTGTTGTTTATTCTACTCAAGTCATACATGAAAAAAAATTAAATTGGAAAAATGAGCAGAAAGGGTATCACAACTAGCAGAGGTCTGCTAAAACGCCCGACATCAAAAATAATTGTAAATTGAAACTGATTAAAAATATTAAAGAGCATGTTTTTTAATTAACTATAAATAAATAATTTTAATAACAAAATTGCTTGGAAAAATTAATACTTTTAGTTCTGAATAAGTTAAATAAAGATAAAGTTGTTTATTTTATTATTCAAACCTTTACAGTGTAATTGCTAAGTCTTTTTTTTCGATTTCAAGAATTAAATTTTTCTTCTCTTGTAAAAAATTATAAATTTTCAGTGGTACTTACATAGGGGTGCTTTGTGCGACCAGAATCCATTCTCAGTGCAGACGATCGTGGGTTCGCCCATCAGTTGGTGCGAATCGGAGCAGCCGAACTGAACAGCACTGCCGACAGCGTATCTGCCGTCCGAAAGAGCCCTGCCGCCAGCCTCCAGGATGCGACCATTCGCCGGGGGCAGCGGGGGCGGACAGTGCACAGGTTGGCAGCGCGGAATGTCGCCGATCCACCGTCCGTCGCTGCCGCACTCGAGGCCGGGAGGCCCTGTCAGACGGTAGCCCCACCTGCAGCGATAGTACGCGCGGCCCAGGTAACTTGTGTTCTGCTCAATCAGCTCGAGGTGAGGGTCGCCGATGTCCCTGAGACGGGGGCAGCGCACTGGTGTGCAGCTCGGAGGTGGACCTGACCACTTGCCTGTTTTAACAAAGTTGAAGAAAAAAATCTTATTTAAAAATTGGCTTATGTAAGTCAGTTTATCGAACAATGATTAATTTAATACAAGAGCAAGTTAAATTTTTTATTTTGATCATTATTATGAATAATCAATATTTACAGAATGAGAAATAAATATTTTTACATAAAATAAACTGTAAAAATTGGAATTGTATTCTAAATTATCCAAATTTTTATAACTATTTTATAACACTGAAAATATTGGAAGAAATTTTTTCCGTTTTAAAACTGTTTTTTTAGGGTCAGGCCAAGTCTTGTCGGCCTGAGCCCTTTGTTGGTGGTGTCGAAGGCAGTTAATATTAATTCAATTTTAAAGAATTTCTAAACAGAAAATTTTGCTATTTTCATATCGTGGGCTTTTTCTGAGCCATTTGTAGACTGGCTCGATAAAAGGCATCAATTATTACTCAAACAGACGAAAAAGCTCAATTATATTAGCGTTACCGACAAATTAATTTGAATATTTCCAAACATTTGAAAATGGTTTTCCATAGTTTGAAACATTCTTTTGGTGAAAAAGCAAAAATGAAACGAATAATTTCAAGAATTAGTTGATCCAAAAATTATAATTTAAAAAAAGGCGTGCTTTCAGAATAGGCAGATTAGTGACCACCTCCTTCTAGACTTTACCCAATTATTCTGGTTCAGCAAGTTTGAACTTACTTAAAAGTTATTGAGGGTTCCTTTACGGTTGGCTAAGTTTGGAGAATAAAACATAGAATAGAATAGAAAATAAATTTCTTCTCAACAATATACCGCTCAAATCTCCATACTAACACGCTGAATCAATAAGTTAAGATCTACTTATCAAAACAAATTCATCCCAAACGTACGACCACTTTAAACAATTCAACATAATTTCAGCTTTGAGCTGATTTCTCTACCAGCAGAATTGAGATGCCCTCATTGGTTATTCTAACGTATGTGAATTTTTTGCGAGAAAGAGAATTTCTTGTCAGAGAGAAAGAGTGTGCAAGGTTGGAAAGCAAATAATCCACAGTCAGTCAGCGAGCAGAATTTGGTCTGACAAGAGAGCGGCGCCGTGTTCAGAAAGGCGAAAAAAGACGGAAACATATAAAGGGGAAATAAGAAGGGCGAACGGGGAATTCTCTTTTGTGCTCGCGCAACAGAGAAAAGTGGCATTTTATGAAGTAGTCGGCGGGCGGTGTGTTTTTAATTAAAACGTTGCAACTTTTAACAGGTGGAAAGAGAGAGAACGGAAAAGAGACGCCTTTCGTTTCCACTCTCTTAAGTTGTGTTATTATTGGAAAATGTTCCCAATTTCCTTACTTGGCAAAGCAGCGAGTGAAATGGGGAAAGAAGTTATTCCAGAGAATAAATGGAAAAACTTGCTTAGCCGATCGTGGTGCAACCTCATTTCCAAGTATAGATAGAAATACCCTCTGTACTTTTAACAAGTAATTTGTATGCACCGTCGCAAAAAAAGTGGAAAGTTTGAAAGACGGCCAAACACACCAGAAAGATGAAATGCATGTCTGGAGGTCAAGGTCGGTGCCGCAAGCCAAGGAGCCTCGACTCAAATGATAAAATATTGACGCGCGCACCGAGTATGTAGTGAGCAGGTCTGCGAATTTAAGCTCTCTGGATGCGCGCCAACTTCATATGTACAAGATGAGCGCAGCTTTCCGCACGGCTTACCCTATCAAACATTTATACGCGTTATTTTCGGTTTTCACGCCTCTTTTCTCACGTACTATTTTTTTCTGCGGTGCTCATTTTTGTATTTTTCTATTTCGCAGCACAAAAGGAAAGCGAATTTCAATTTGGTCGCTTATTGATTTGTTACCTGTCGCGTGGCACGTCAGATTGGCAGTTCCGTTGAGGACGAAGCCCGTGGGACACTGGAACACGGCCGTGTGCCCCAATCTGCTGCCCTCCACCCTGGCCGTCACGTGTGGGTCGTCGACTTCTAACGGTGCACAGTGGATTGCTAGAATGAAAATAAAGATCACATTGAATATTAATTTTTTTAATTGGGAAATGCGTGTGCGGGTCAGGGAGGGTTCAAAATTAAAGTTCAAGAAAATTAAGTGAATTTCTGACAACTGCTGCTGTGTCTGTTCTTCTATATATCCGTATATATCCATGAAAATTTTGCAGTTTGTAGCTCCCACTCTATTAATATATCATTATAGCTTGGTGATGAATTTGATACTATACTATATTCTGCATACTAATATTGAGAAAGCAGTGTGTGATATAATTAGGCAAAGCTCATTAGATTCATACAATTAAGACAGTAGATGCCCATTGCACATAAACCCAAAAAACCGCAGGCCTGTAGTGGAACTAACTGGAGTAGTGAATTCTCTACAATAGAGCATAGACCGATCTAACAGTAAGAAAAAGTTATGAGCAATTTATTAGAGCTGTATCGCAATGTAATGTATTATCCATTTGTAGAGATACCACAGCTCTAGAAATTTTCCCACAACTTTATACTAGCCCTTAATTTTGCTGGGTGTACGAATTTAACGTATTTCTTGATTAATTTAACTGTCTCATTCTAATACTTCTTATCTGACACCAGGAGAAGTAAGAGTAAGGAAAATTGGTGGTATTGTTTTTTGAATAAGAAAAGATTGTATATTGAATTCCTGTAGCAAACATATTAAAAATCAAGATTAGTGGGAGATGATATATTTGTTAATAAATTTAATTTAAAATTAAGTGTATTTTTAAAATTGTGATATTATTTGGATTTTTGCTTGTTTTTTTTGCCGTGCGGCTTATTCTTTGTTGATCTTATAATTAAAATAAAAGTGCTGTGGCAGTGCTCTGCCATCGCCATGCCATCGCCATGCCATCGCCATGCCATCGCCATGCCATCGCCATGCCATCGCCATGCCATCGCCATGCCATCGCCATGCCATCGCCATGCCATCGCCATGCCATCGCCATGCCATCGCCATGCCATCGCCATGCCATCGCCATGCCATCGCCATGCCATCGCCATATATATACATACATAATAATTTTAATTTTTTATAAAAAAAAATCCTAAAAAATGAAATACACTTATGCCTTTAATATTTCTTTATTTAAAAAATTATGAAAATTACTTGGTCAAAAAAATTAAATAATATGTTATGAAAACATTTTAGTTGCAAATGATATTTTAATTGCGTCTTGTAATTTTGATGTCGGTTTATAATATTTTATGAATTGTGTTTCTTTCATTTGATATTTTAATCAATTTCATTTAATTTTTACTATAAAATCCCTTTATAGATATCGATCTTCGGTCTGCCTGTAGCTAAATTTCCAATTTGAAATTCAAAGCGACGCGGCTTTTATAAAACAAAATGCTAAATTGTGAATTATATGGAAATTCACTGTATCGTTGCATCACATAGTAATAAATTTTGACGGTGGCAAGGAAACGCTTTTTGAAACCATCAAAGTATCAATTTCGCCGCACATTATGCACTTTTATTCACTTTTTAGAGAGCGGCTGAGCCCATTTGAAAGTTAATGAAGACGGCAGACTGAATATGAGAGCTGCCGACCAATTCCCAGCGGCTTCCAATCTGAATTTCCCACACCGAAAATTGCATCTCGCCTTTTCCAATCGCGGGCAATTCGATGGAAAATATGCCTTGGCAAAGGGGGCGTGCAGACCCTAAGAATGCACCAGGGAGTGCCTTGGGCGTCTGTGTTTGGCGGCGGAATCTTCCCACGGGCGAGACCCTTTCTCCCCGTACTTGATGCTTTCATTCCAGCGGCACACAAAAGTAAGTGCAAACGAGGCCGACGCACACAAACAAGTAGTTCCCCGCTTGCTTTTTCTTATCTCGAGACGGGGGATAAAACCAACGTAAGCCTAGCTGGGGGATGCACCAGCAGTAAACACGCGCTAAATGAACCGACCCCTAACGAATCGCAGTCAGGGTGAATTTATGTGAGGGCTGCTGTCCTTCGAAAACTTTGAATAACGACGGCAATGTTTGTACATTGTTAAAGCTGGATGATCAGGAGGGGTTTGAACCTTGGAGATTTTCGCATATTGAGAAAAATAAAAAAGCTGAAAATATCCTCAAAGGAGGGTTTTACAAGAAACTCAAGCTCTCTGACGTGAACTTTTACAGTGAATTGTAAATTGCATGGAAATTTTTTGTTCAATACATACCAATTTAATTTTAATTTTGATTCTGATTTTAAGCATTTGCTGGAATTTGCAAACTAATATAGTATGATTTGAAATTATAACATTGAGCATATGTTAAAAAATGCTTTCCACCATCAAATTATTCAAGGTGTATTTTATCTATCCAGGAACTGCGTGGAAGTTTGTAAAATTTGATCAAATTCTCTCTTCTCAAGACTTAAGAATTTCATTGGATTTTTTTACGTAGTCAAATGAGAAAGAAGAACATATTTTAAGTTTAAAAAATGGACCAACGTAGTAAGTAACATCAAAAAATATATCGATGTGAGCTACAGAGCAATATGTAGAGGAATTGGAAAACAATTTTACTTGAATCAATGAGTTTCAATCATGAGGCGTTAATAACAAATATAAATTATAAAAATGCATATAATATTTAATTTGCTAAAAATATTACAACTGATTGAAATGAAAAATTTAACATTACTACGATCTGCAAAAAAAAAATTAAAAAAAAAATATAACTGATAAATAATAATTTGTTATATTTTAAAATTATGTGAAAAAATTGAAGAAAAAAAAATTTACTAAAAATTTTATTAAAAATTATATATACGTAAATAAAGCTTAGTATTAAAAATTTTTTATAAAATAAAAACAGCAACGTTTACGGGGAATTGAAGTAAAAATAAATCAATCGCAGTGAGTGCTTTCATTTTGATTGGATTAACCTCCACCCCCATTAAAAGCTTAGCTTCGAAAGTGCACCGTTGCATAAATGATTAAAAGCCGACGAATTTACCCGTCGTTTCGCGAAATACTCCTCCAAAATCCACTTTTCCCTGCACGTCATCAGCAACAACTCAAATATTGCTGAGGGTGCGTCAATTCCACGGAGGGAGACGAAGGAGAGCATTTCGGATGCAATCAGTCAAGACAGAAGACCGAAGACGGCGGCGAGTCTAATTCATTAGGCACAACAAGCGGCATACTGCAAGTCAGTGGGGCGTGCATAAATTTTATTTTCGGCAAAAAGGTCCGCAATCAAGGGGTCAGCACTCAAACGGAAAATGACGAGAGCGATTATTTGGCCTGCGGCACTCGCATATTTTGTTATTTTTGGATCGTTGCCGGGGAGATTTTAATTTCAGATTTAATATCTCAGCGGAATTTATTGAATTTCATTCTGCGAATCGAATTTTGCACGCGCTTCTTTTGATGCTAACTTTGTCAAGCAGGTTTACAAGAATGAAAGAAAAAGTTGTAGCTAAAAAAGGAGCTGATCAAAGTGCTGGATTAGGCACTGGGAAAAGAGAGCGAAAGACGAGCAGAGGATGATGCGGATAAGGCAGAAGTTGCCTCTCGGATTTCCACCGCTGGTCAGATGTGAAAAGTGATGAAGGGATAGATCAATATGGAGCGATAGCCTTACAGCAGTGAAACTCGCTCACCAGCCGGCCGACCAGCCAAACGTGTAAACTTGGAACGAAAAGAAAGCAAAACTTAGAGACTGATCGGATCGGTACTCTCGATATTTGGAAAAAAATTAGACGTGTAATAAACATCGATCATGCAATACCTCAAGAAAAAAAGCAAAAGGTACTAAAAAATATATCAAAATAAAAATATCAATTAAAGTACAAAATAACCTTACAATTAGCCCACACAAAAATTAAATTTATATTTTAAGCAAATTTGGAATAAAATTTAAATAATTCATATATATATTCCCTTTTTATCCAACACTATCAGTTTATTTTATTTAATAATAATTATATATATTTTATAATCTATTCAATCCATGAAATTTAAAAAAAATTAAGGAGGCTACGTAAAATATAATAGGAAAATAATAAAATTAATTATCTTTGAAAATTCATATATTGTTGGTTGCATATTGGAATTCAAATTCATGTATATCTCAGGAAAATGATTTCAAAAGTCCAAATATGTTACTATTTGTTAAATATACAGAGTTTGAAAAAATGAGCAAGAATGAGCCTTTAATTAATTAAATATATAAAATTAAAATAAATAATGTAAAAAACCAACTTTTGATGAGTTATGTAAAATTATTTTCAAGTGTAGACACTTATCCATGACGTTCGATTAAAAATTAAAAGGTTTTGTTTTCCAAGCAAATATGTGAACAGTGAAAGGGAGCCGAGATAGAAGGTTGCCCCGAGCCCTGCCGGAGTTGAAAGTAAGCCCGGGTGAAAGGAAAGACACACATTGACTGCGAATCCGAAGAGAGACAAAAACTTTTGGGGCGGCAATTATTGGCGAGGTGATCAATATCTGGAACGGCGCAAGGGAAAACACTTACCCACAACATTGATTGTGACGCTGTTTGTGAGTCCGTGGGGTGTCGTGCAAGTGAACGCACCTGAATCCTGGGGCTTACTGTAATAAATGGAGAGGCGATACTTCCAATCACGTTCCTCCGCAGATATCGCCCAACCTGCAACAGACAAATTGATCGCGAAAATTAGATTATTATAACTATTTACCTTGAAAATTAAAAGGAAATTAACATAGTTAAAATAGAATTTCAAAAGAAAATGTTTTTATAATGGAAAAATTAACAAAAAATCGTTATAAAAATTCAGTTTTAAAGTCACTGTCAGTTATTTTGATTGAACAGAAAAGAGGGAAAAAAACATTTAAGAAAAGAAGAAACACTTAATGTTTCAACTTTTTACTGTCTAAAAATTAATATTTCAATTTCAAGAATCGTGGGGGTTCTTCTACGAGAACAAAAGTTTATGTAATAAAAAGTCTAGAAGTCAAAATAGAAACAAGTGACATAAACATCTGGCAAAATTACTCTCGCTGAAAAATTCTCTGTCAGGCAGATGAATTTTGCGCGCAGCCAAAAAAGTTAACAAGCGTGTTGACTTGGCTTGCGTATATAGTTTATGTTTTTGCATCGGCGGGCGGCGAATCTAATGGAATAGCGTTGTAGAGCGCGAATTGCCTCTCGTCGTTCCTATCTCTCTCTCGGAGCCTCTCAGTTTATTGATCAACTCGCCCGTCAGAAATCGCGAGCTGCAAATCGACCGTGAAATGAGCAATCCCCCGTGTGCATGCAAATTTATTTATTTATTTATAAATGAGCATTTTTCCGAACGACCGAACGTGACGTTTGGCCGTTTGATTTGTGTTTTTTGCTCGTTGAGCATGGAAATTTTTGCAATTTCCATCACGTGCACACCATTATATTCTGTTAAGCCTGTCACTTGATAATTGGCAGGCGATTTGGCAGTTCGTGTCATGATATCGCAAAGCCCCGCACTCGCTGACTCTTCTCCACGGTTTTTACATGCAATTTATCGTTGACGCTTTGTTCCCGAACGTGAGAGAGGGTTTGGCCGAAAATAAAAGATAATTTTGCCACCCCTGCATGTGTTTTTCCAAATGAAAATACTCATGCGGATATAACGGTGGACACGCAGTTTGAATATAATTATGTGTGAGAATGGAAGCGTGAATTATTTAACGAGCGGGTGTCAATGCAGCATTTTGCAGCATGGTATGTTATGTATAGAATTTGAAAGTATTTATTTATCTCGAGAATAAATTAAGTTGATTGCTTCAAAATTCTGTACCAAATATTAAAAAAAGGGTAACAACTTACAGCTATTGTAATATAAATAATTCGTTAACATGAAGAAAATTTTAATGACAATCTTTAATAATTAAAACGTAAATCCATTTTTAACCAACAGAATTTATTTTGAAACTTTTGAATGGCTAGGTTGTACCGTGAAAAATACAAGTTTAAAATCAAGTTATAAAGTTATGAAACCTTGAATTTTCAAAATGGAGTTATCCAAATGATAATTACCGCTTGTGCTTTTTTTTCATCTTTATATCACACCTTGAAATCTGTATTGAGAATTATACATACATATTACCATGATAGTTATCTCAAATTTTTGTGATGTTTTTAATTATTTTTCTTGTATATTCTAGGAAAGCGTCCTCCGCAAAATATTATAATAAGACTTTAAAGATATTTTTGGTCAGCATGGAAATGGAAATCCACTTTTATATAAAATAAACCGTCATCTTTTTTTCAATAAAGAACTCAAATCGTTTTCCAGTTTGCACAGCTTCCCTTTTTTTACATCAGCTGAGCATAGCAAAAAATAGCATATCTCATCCGTTCTCCCATTTCTCCGTAATTTGCCTCTTCACGAGCGAGCATTGTTATCGCAGCTGTGGGATGCAAATTGCATCTGTGTAACAATGAAATCTAACTGGTGCGCCTTTATGATGCTAAACTACCTGGCTTTTTTCAGCATTACTATAAATCGCGTCGGCCTGTGTCACATGAATATGCATTTCTGCTGCAGCACACTCGCCGCAAAAGTGCTGAATTATGCTGCGACGAGAGAGAGAGAGAGAGAGGTGATAAAATTATATCGCCGCCTTTCCTGCTGAATAATAAAAAGGCGTGCCGCGTATTATTCCACGTCCTCTCCGAAAATATTAGCCTGCCAAAGGCAAACATTACGGCGGCAGTCGTATTATTTTATTTCTCGTCCCGCGGGGCCCCCGAGTCAATATCCTTGACCACAATGACGACCTCTGACTTTCGCCTAAGCAAATATTTCCGGCTGCACGCGCATCTCCCAATCGTCATCCACAACCATCATATCTTTATTTACCATGTATAAATTTTTCTATGCCAGATGTAATTTCAGCTGGGACAGCAGGGGGAGCAAACAAAATTGAGGAATGGTAGTTCAGGGGATTTAATCTGGGGGAATGCATTGTGTTGGAATGGGATCTTGTGCAGGATGACATATATGAGATACAATGGATTTCATTCAGTTAGATGAAACAAGACTTGATAATTAAATATTTAATTTTATTGTTCTTACAGCATGCTCCTGGACTTCATTCAAATTATTTCCAAACAATGCTGAGAAGCACAAATTTAAAAATATTTCAAATTTTCCCTGCAACGAATGAACATGCAATACAAACAACTGATTTTTAATCTAATATTTGATGAATTATCAAATTTGCTCAAAATCTAGCAAAACAATTTCCCGCCTAGATACTAGAAATTCATTTTCAAAACACATATTTTGAACGAAGTGAATATTTTGCTAAAACTTCCAAGATCCAAGAGACCTCTCCACCGAAGTCAGCCTAAAAAAATTAAGAAGATAAAATCTATTTGAGAGAAAAATGAAAAGGAAATATTACACAATACATCCTTTGAAATCAAATAATTTATTGAGTCAATCACGCTACTCAAGCCATTTTTGCATGTCCCCTCTTGTGTCAGGAGTCTCTAAATATGCAAATGACGAAAAATTCACATGAATAAAGATAAAGCGGTATTGAAATTTTGTCTCGCGAGAGAGTCGGAACGTCGCCGTTTGAGAGTTATACGCGCTTGTGCATATAAAAACGGAACGGAATAATCAAGCCCGATTCAATTCAGAGTGGCTGGCAGAAAAAAGAAAACACTGCACAAACGACGAAAGAGCTCTTGCTGAAAAGATGATAAAGCCAATTCATAGTCATGGTTGTTGAACCCGATTCCTGGCAATTGCGGCGCCTTTTGCCGGGCCACTTTTCATGTTTGGCGGCACCCGTCTAATAAAAAAGCAGCAAAATTCTTATCTCCGCCGATTTCAAATATATATAAAAACAAAAACCTCTCGTGAAAGGGCTGTTCTCGAAATCCGATGCTTTTATCTCTGCCTTTTTCCGCAGGATAATTTCCCGGTCTCGCGCGAGGTATAAATTTCGCCGCACGTTCAAAGCCGCGTTTAATGTCTTTATATACTATGGGCCGTATCGGATTTTCATCTTTCTCCGCCCTAATGCTTTATTGCCTGCAGATACCGCAGGGTCAGGGGTTTGAAAAATCCTAGGTCAGAAAAAATACAAATAATGCTGGAGGCAAGATTCTCAAGTCTTTTTCTGCTCTTTTTCAGAATTTCTGATTTCCCGTCAGAAAAAAATGTGCTCACGCCTGGTTAATTTTCAGAAAAATTAAGTAAGTGATAACTTATTTGTTTAATTAACAACCCCTTTATCTGATGCGTAATTATATTTTATCTTCCCTGAATGCTATTTTTTGTTGAAATAAATGTGGAGGAATCTTTGTTAAAATTACCAAAAACACTCACCTGTCAGGTACTGCCGGAAGCTGGAGCTCCAGCTCCACTCGGGGTTGCCCAGTTTGCGCGCGAACACGCACTCCAGGTGGACTATGCTGCCGGGGAAGACGGCCAGCTCGCCGTCGGGCTCGACGGAGGCCGACCCAGCTGGGACTCGCACCAGAACCGTGGGAGGCGCGTCATCTGCAAAAAATATCACCAAAATGGATTTCGCCAGGCTTAAAAAGAGGCACGTTGACGTTGCTATAAAGTCAAAATTATGGGAGGAGGGACACTTTTACGACTGCCAGTTTGACAGCAGGGAAAATGACAACAGCGTTAGCGATTTATGGGCAAGTCGATTTAGGTTTGTAGATATTTCAAAAGAATATTGTTTTGAGATAATTTTTTTGCATATCCTAGGAGGATAATGTGGTTTTAATTTTTAGTGTGACCATTAAAAATTTTATAAATAATTGTTAGAAGACTAACAAATTAAAATTCTATATCTTTTTTGTTTAGAAAAACAAAAACCATTTGAATTTTAAGCCAGTTTTATGCTATAGAGCTATAAAAAATTATTAAAATTATTAAATGTTATTTAAATTCATCATTCAAAATTACTCCCTTTTATCGGTTTTTTTCTTCGAATACGCTCTTTTACTGATAAGCAACAGTTTTAAGTTTTAATTATCTTAATAGCAAAATAAAATGAAAAAAGTTGCTTAAACACATTGTTTTTTTTCAAGCACCACTTCTCAAAGAACACCTTTCCCAGATCCGCTTCACAGCAAAATTTGCTGACGGTTAGCAATCACCCGTCAGAGCAAATATAAAAAAAAACTTTGTAACAAATTACGTTCAAAGAGTAGCCTTGCTGATCAGCCAACACTCTGCAAACGAACGCGATTTCCCTTCATTGCGTCAAACAAAACTCTGACCGAGTTTCCGAACTAAAAGTTTTGCAACCAGTTGCAACGTCTAAGTTGTTGCATAGAGGAGATCGTCAGATCCACGCTGGCATAAATGCAAAATAAATATAGATTTACCTGTGAAGTTGGTCAGCAGCGTGGTCGGGATGCAGTTGGGCACCTCGTGGCTCCAAACGCCATTCTGGCAGGTGAGACTGGACTCGCCGAGCAGCTTGTAGACGCCCAACTCACGACAACGAACCGACACCTGGGCCCCGTCGGGAAACGGTAGACGAGTGTCAGCCTAAAAAACAAAAACAAAGCACAACTTGGTTAATTAAAATGTATTTTTTTTTATAGATAGGCATGAAAATAACAGTTTCAACAACTCTTACAATTAGTGTTGTCTTGTTAGTACAATAAAATCGTGAAAATTACTCAATTCTTAAGTACTGCACCAACGATTTAAAACAGCTAATCAAAACAAATTGTAACTGAAGATCGAAATTTCAAGGAAAATGGTACTAAACAAACAAAAAGGCTAAATATAATAAGAAATAAATTGAGAGTTAAAATTTACATTCTTAAAATTTGGCTTATAATTTCTAAATTAATAAATAGTAAGATTTTTGTAAAGAAAAATCTACAATGGCTACCTACCACCAATGCTTATATAAAATATCAAAAAATCTCTGTGAAAAATTTTCCATTATTTGAATTTTTTATCTCTTCAAAACATTTAAAAGGTGTATTGTAATTTGAAATTCTTTGAAACATATACAAAAACATTTTGTAGACAAAATATTTTACGATTTATTCTATTTAATAGAAAAAAGTGCATTTCTTCTCTTGTAAAGTTGTACACATGATATGTTCAATTAATCCGTCTGTAAAAACAAGCCATAATAGCGATCATCATAAGAGTTTTTAAATCAAGAAAAGTTATTAAAATTAAAAGTATTAAAAGTTTGGTTTACTTATTTCTTAAATAATGCTAAAAAATTATTAATTATTATCTATTTTACAGTTTAAAAAATTTTAAAAATTATTAATGAATATAAATCTTTAATAAAATGTTGCTAAACGAATATAAAATCTTTTCAATAATCATGCTCATAAAATGGAGATTACAATTTTTGTTTTAATATATAATTCAAGTCATTAGGATTTGACTGGTATCTAATGGAAGCATAAATTGATGAATTATTCTGAAGGTTTCATCAAATATAAGTTACAGTATAATTAAGATTAATAAAAATTTCAAAAATCTTTTGAAATGCAAATAAAATACAAATGTGTCCGACGGGAACGGAAAAAAATTATTTTCCCGCGGGACTTGCGGGATTCTTGCGGGAAAGGAACTGATTCCATCTAGCGGGAAAGATATCGAGAGGAATTGGGAAATCTGCTGGAAAATTTTTGTTTTTTGATGCATATACGATGACTTATAGAGTGTAAGTAATACAGGCAGTTTACTTGTTTCCATGCATTTTTATTACAAATAATGCATTTTAATAAACAGAAAAATGGCAGGATTGAAAGATTTTAATGCAATGGCCAATTCATCAATTGTAAAATAATGCAATTTATTCACTTCCATGTCTGAACTTGTCTAAATATGTGGGGAACGTTCTCCACGAGACTTGTCAGATTAAAATGGAAATATCATATTGTGCTGGTGGGCAATTGTTTGATCGCATTTTGATGCAGATTTTGTTTGCCTCGGCGGCCGTAATTCACGCAGGCAAACAAGCCGATCTCTCTTTGGCCCCGCGAGCACAAACAGCAGCCCCGTCGGTCGGCGTCCATGAACGAGGCAATTAATTTTATTCCGCAGCAGACCGTGTGTCGGCAGGCAGTTATAAACAAATGATAACGAATTTGTAGGCTGGCAAGGGTCACTTTAATTCCATTTGGCGCAAACGGACTGCGGCTCTCGAGATCCCTCTCGGACGAGATAAAAGAGCGAGAGGGAATAAGAGGAGAGAAAAAACACGCAGCGAGATAACGGACTTCTTTCCTAGCACTGCCGGCCATTGTTGTTAAAACGAGGTACTTTTACAAATGGACACACACATGCAGCCGAAAATAAAGTTGCTTCTTCCTCTTGCCGGTGGGATTTTTTGAAAGTGGGCCCCACGAGCAGCAAACGTAGCCCAAACGGCCGTGCCGTGGTCAACGCAAATGGCGCGTGCTCTTTTAATTTTAGGGCACCTTCGCTCGCAACCCAATTCAGTTTTCGCCACACGCACTACCAGAATGGCACCTATTAAGTGCACGGCCCCGTGTTCTTTGCAAATCGAGCACGAGAAAGGCGTCTGGAGATGTGGAGATAACAAAACTTTGGGAAATTTCCATTTTAAATAAAATTGCAAAGAACGAATACAGTCCATGAATTTAACTGGAAATCGGTATTGAATAAAATTGAATTGTATTAATATTTCCATTACCAAGGGCATAGATTCACATATGCGCGAGTGCTACTTTTTAAAGTAATTAAAATTAATAATTTTTGTAAAATATTAAGGAATTTAATTATTTTTATTTAGCTATCTTTGGAGAATAATATTAACTTTTTAATCGATGGGATGGGGATTTTTTTTATCAATCATTTGTTGACATTTGTATCTTGCAAAAGCTGAAAAAGTAAATTAAATTAAAATTTCCTATCAATCTAACTACAAAGGAATGTGTAAAATGTATATTTCCAAGAAATTTTACCAATTATTGCAACATTAAAATTAATTTACAAAATGATTGGTGTCTACCAGAAGAAACTTTTGATTATTAACAAAATATGGACTTGAGTACCTATGACGATAAACGATTTTGACGTCTGGGTTTAGCTTTCACATTGTGGGTCACAGCACAGATTTTGCGAATTTGTGTAAATTTATTCTGCAAGTCAATATGAGGAGGAGAGCACCTAATCTGAACCAGTCAGTCACTTCAGGCTCGTCGCAATATAAGCACGGGAGAGCACACCGCGCGTCAGGAAAGCGTTTTGCATCTGAGGTTTAATATATCCAATGTTGATTTTGGCGGGTGCTCAACGAGCGAGAGCGAGGCGAAATCCATCCACGGTGCTTTCTCAGAGAGCAGCAGCTACTCGTTTTGTGCGAAATAGGCAGAGCGGTTTGAGAGAGAAGCCCGCGTCGATATTATTATCTATTCGGCAACATCAGCGTGATTCTCTCGTTCTGCTATATTGAGTGGCGGATCAATATTCAAAATTAAATTCTATAGTTTGTCTGCTGACAAGGGAATGTCGGCGTTGACACTGGTTTTTTCAGTCAGGCAAAAATTGGTCAAGTCTTACGAAATTTATAATTTATTATTTAAATTATAATATGAAGCAGTGACTGAAATAAAATTTAATTTGTTGAACAATTTTTTTTTTAATAATAATTATTTGAATGAATCACTAAACCTTAAATTATTTAGCAACAATCAGAATTATAATAAATGAGAATCAATGAAACCGAGTCGCTAGTTATTATTTTAATTTTTAAATATTTATTTTGTCCATTAAAACATTGAAAATAGTTTCTCATTTAGTTTTTACTGCAGTTATTTTTTGGCTCAATAAATTTTATAGCTTTAATTTTTTTACTCTTCTTAAATACAAATAATGCCGTTTTGATTGGCTATCAACCTTGAAAAATAAATTTCATTGTAGATATAAGACCCTATTATTTTATATTTATACTGAAGCTTGGCGGAACTCCCTTGCGAGATCAAGACGCAAACAGCTCAATAGAAAAGTGCAGAATATGCATTATTTTGTATGCATATTTGTATTTCAACGACCTCTATTCCATTTTATTTTCATCTAATGCTGTGGTTTCCGTTATTTATTTATTTCGTGGTGATTCAGAAATAATGGTCCTTCGGATATTCCAATCACGCATCCGTTCTGCGTAAAAATCCAGTTAAACTTTTGGCGGCGTCGCTCGTGCGGAGAGCGGCGCTTGTATAAAATAGAAACAGCGAGAGAGAGGCCGGAGTGAAATTCGCGATTTATTGCCGCCGCCCTGAGTGCGTGTGTATGTTATGCATGAGCTCATTATTCTTTGTGAAAAAAATTTACATACGCGCACCGGAAAGGGAAGTACACATTCAAAGCGGCTGATGAAAAATATGTGCGATTCGTGCCGAGAGCTGATCAAAACAACTCCTGAACTTGGCAGGAAGTCAATCCGTTAGCTTTTTTGGAATATGGGAATGGAAAAATCAAGATCCGTTCGACCTTTTGCACTATACTCTGATTGACACTGAAATCTATTATTTATGTTCAATTAACATTTATTGATTTTTAGCTATAATTGAAATTTACTTTATAAATCAATTACTATGCAATTGAAAAAAATTCATTGAAATACCTCAGATTTTTTTTTCTAATCTTGATACAGATAAATTTTCGTATCCTGTATAGGATGTAATTAATTGATTAATATGCGGTGATTTTATCAAAAGAAAAGTAAAAGTGTTAGTGTAAAGTGAAATAAAAATATATGATAATCATTGTTAACTAATATTTAGTGTAAATGAACTTTTCTCTCTTTGTAATTGAAGTGCGATTCCCTTCAATAGTATTAAAATGAAAAAAAAAATAGCAATAATAATTCCATTATAATCAAGAATGCCGCGTGTTCTAAAAACAGAAGATTGCACGGAAAGAGGAAAATTGCTTGTTCTGAATATCAAATAAGAAAACTTTTATTCTAATTATGCCTCGAACGGATATATCAGAAAAATCTAGTGCACGAAGAGTTTGCTTTCTGTTTCAAATGAATATTTAAAGTTACAAAGCTACATAGCTGAGCATAGCAACTTTCTTTCAGCGAGTTCAGCAGGAAGAGATAGCCGGCCTCTCAAACATTTAAGACAAAAAGTTAGTTAGCTTCTCTCTCTTCCGGAAAGTTCATCCGCGCTGACCCAATTCACTTGATCAACTGCTGCTAAAATACAAGTAAAACGACCTCCACTTTTCAAGAGTCAAACTCTCTCTCTCTCTCTCTCTGGAAAAGTCAGCAAAGGGCTCTGTGTTTTTGTTAACGACGTGCCGGCATTACAGAAGGCAAATTCGCTTGCAGAAAGACAAGTTGCTTGTATGCTTTTCTCGAGAACAGAAGAAACAAAGAGGCAGAGCAGAAAAGGCGCACCTCGTTTACTGATTTTCTGACTCGGGTCGGTTCATATGTATATCGGTGCATCAGTGAAGAAGGAAAAAAGTCTTCTCGCTGATACGAGAGGCGCCCAATTTCGTATTTTATTACAAGGGAAAAACTAGTTTCCGAGAGGCGAAATCAAATTTATTGGCCGTCCGAGAATTTATGTACGCGCGCCTGCATACATAGGGTACTCCCGGCTTGGGCCATGTAATAACGTTTCCTCTCTCTCTGCCTGCGGATTGCTCCTTAACATGACTGATTTCTCATTCGAGATAACTTTCGGACTCAGTGACTGCGGAAATTTTATCGATGGACTGACATGGGGGAAAGCGAAATTTATTGCAAATTGTTTCCTCTAGAACGATCAAGTGGCTTTTGAGTTTTATATATTTCCTCATTTGAAATTCAGATTAGTTTTTCATTGTCAATAAAAAAGACAGGATTATTTTTTTAAATAAATAGTATTTGCATTTAATAATTTTGGTCTACAATTAAAATAATTTTTAATAATGCCGCAAACTTTACAACCAAAAGAAAGTTTGAGTTGGTTCATCTATGGAAGTTTAATTTAGAGCCTAAATATACCATGATAGCTTATGCAATACATCTTTAATAAAAACGTTTATAAATCTTTAATATAACAGAAAATAATTATTGAAAAATATTTTAATCTTAAAATTTGAAAGTTTAATCTTTGAATCAACAAATTTAAAAAACAAAATTATATCAATAAAGGCGGGAGGCTGCCGTGGAAGAGCTCAAATCTCAACATATCAATTGATTCTCGCAAGTGAATGGTCCACAAATCCACACAAATCATTAAAAAATTTGTTTAATAATTACCATCTAACTCTCCGTCAATCTTTTAATATCCATTTCATTCACTTATTACTTTTTTCTAGCCAAATATCACTTTTTTTTGCATTTTAAGTGCAAATAATTATTTATTTGTATGTATTGAAGAAGAAAAACGATGGAGATAGACAATGGGATAAACAGAGACATTAACTGTCAAAAATGGCCAAACTGTGAATGACAAGCAGTATAGCCATTGGAGTGATAAGCAGCCGTCAGCAGAGTTTGAATATTATGATAAATATCACACATCACTCATTTTGACGATGCCTCTGGGCCGTTTCCTTTTTCGCAACTCCTCGCCGCCGTCCTGCTACAAAATTCTGTTCGCTCCACCGAGCAAGGCCCTTTTGAATACGGTGGAGGAATTCTCCTTTGGCCGGCCGACGAATTCCGTGCGGGCCAATATTGGCTCGCATGCACCTATCCTCTTCAATTCCCACCTCTTTTATGCGTCAAGTTTTATTAGTTGCCAAAGTATAGTGGCGCGGTCAGAAAGGGTTCTGACCATAGAGGCCCGGACCGCCTCTTTGAGGTCTCTTTCTAGCTCTGACCAAAGTGAAAAATCACTTTGTGAGAGAGCACAAAATCGAGCTTTATTTGAGCACGTAAGGCGCCATGATTTGTGGATTTCCATTATAGACTGCAAAAATCTGAGTTCGGAAAATTGATAAACAATTTCTGACTCATTTTCTATACAAAATGTATGAAATTAATTATTTAAATTAAGTTATATTACTACATTATTTGTAGGATAATTCTGCTTCTGGATTTTGCAGGAATCTTAATTTATTAATTTTTTATTTATGTGATTTTATATTTCAAATCTTGAATAAATGAAACGGTTTATACAAATCTCCTAGTCAAATATTTTAAATCCAAATTGGAAGCAGAAAATACCTGGAAATTCAAGGTATTTTGTACAATAACAGATTATTCTGAAAAAAGGGAATTAAACACAAATTTAAAGGCATTTCTGAAAGTTTTTTGTTTTATTTTTGGACTAACGAAGAGTTGACGGATGAGAAGTTTTTCCCCCCATTTTATTTCATCAAGAGCAGCCATATAGCTTTGAAGGACTGCACTTCATTTCTCCTTCTTCTTCTTCTTCTTGAGAGAAATGACCTGCTCGATGAGGGTGATATTAAACATGCGATGAAAAATTTGGCCTATCAGCCGCGATGGTGAAAAAAATTCGCCGGGGCGGCATAAAAAATTGGCCGTTTGTGCCGAGGACACAAAATGAAAATCGATCTGGCCGCGCCACCGACACGGGCCTGACGTCAGCCTTTGTGCTGCAAACTGTTGGATCCATATTGAAAATTGATAGCCATTTATTATCGCAACGCGACCGCGAGTATGGCGAGTTTAATCAAATTAAGCCTCGACTGGATTTTGGCCCAGCTGCCGGACCGGCGCTTTATCTCCGTTGCGCGCCGTGTTGCCGATGCTGAAACGAGCGGTTCCCTTTGATGGATTGAAGGGAATTTACGCATACAAGGAAATTTCATCATTTTCATCACGTTCTGGTCCTCAGAAAATGAGAGGTGGTGTTGACACTTTTTATGTCATTTAGATCATGTTGACCTTTTAAATACAAATTGCAACGGCCAGATCGTTGATGCTGTTTTTTGCTATTGTTTCCAATAAAAACGCAACCCACTGTAATTCAAATTTAGCAACTCAAGGGGGTAGATAATAAATAATAATTACATTAAATATTGTATTCGTCAATATCTGAAGAATATTTCAGAAGCAAATCGATATTTTTTTAAACCTAATTTTGATAAACCTTTTGGTTTTAATCCTCTTTGCTGGCTCCCATGAAATTACATAATTTCAAAATTTCTGAAACATTAATGCATGATTTCGCATGTTTTATACAGAAAATTTTTTACGATGTTGTGTTTACTAGAATAAAAAATAAATAATTAAGAACGGTTCATATTCATATTTAATATAGGGTCGAAATTATTTTTTAAATTTATTGGCAAGCATGTTTTTAAATTTTAGATAAAATACTTCCAATTTAAACATAATTAATTTTCCTCTGTCAGTTCTCCGTTTAAAATGACATTTTTTCCTCTGCAGAGTGATAAATAAAATTTCAATCACACGCCTAATCGTGCTTTTGGGGCGAACATTTAAACCAGTTTATCGCCTGTAAATCAGCAGATGAATCTCAAATGGTGCACGAAATTTCATTAGAGAAAAACGACGGCGCCGGTGGAAACTGCAGCTGAGGGAGTTGAGGGGGAGCGAAAAGCAGAGTGGAAAGTGGCGCTGCGAAAATAAGCAGATTTTATCACGAGCGCGCGCGCTGTGTTTCAACACCTCATTTTTTAAGCATGCATACAGACAATGTAATTTCGGAACGAGCATTTTTCAAGTCTCCGGAGCGCCGGCTGAACAAAAGAAGCAAGAAATGTAGCAGAGAAAGGAATATCGGGAGAGAGAGAGAGTGTGCGAAAATTGTCTTCAACTCTCCGGGCACGATTTAATCCCTTTGTGTTGAACATTTTTGTCAAGTAGTCTGCCAGCTGGTCTCTCTCTTTCTCTCTTGCAAAAGACACAAAAAGTACATGTACCGTTCGCGGGCGTGCGGAATTAAAATTTATCCCTCTCCGCGAGAGATGTTAATAATAAGTCCTCTGCTCTCTCTCCAGTCTCATTTTCTGTTAGAGGAAAAAACTCGTTTTCATCCCCGGCTGCACGCGAAGAAAAAAGATGAAATTCGCCCCGCCGACGTCATGTGCACAGGGGGAATATTTTATACGAATTTAATTGCCCGGGTGTGTTATTCTCCCGCGTTTTTTGTATTATTTATCGTCGTCCTAACCGAATTTAGGAATTTGTGTTTATATATATCGCAGAGAGAAGAGAAAATTGCATCAGGCGCAGGGGTTTTTCTGTGTGACAATTTAATTTCCTTTGACCCCGATGGTATGGCGCGTGCAATTTTTCCGGGGCGGATTGTATCTGGGGACGGAGACGGAATATAAGAAGAAGCGGCAACTCACCACAATGCTGACATTCTTGTACATCACCAGCAGCTGAGGCGGAAGAGCGCCGAAATGACAGCTCCGGAAAAGAGGATGATACTTGCCGCCGCCTGCGAAAAAAAACAACAAAAATAAATACGAGCGCTCCATTGCGAAAAAGCAGCGTTGGTGGCTTAAAAGCCGTGATGCGAAGTATAGTGCTTTGTGCGAAGTGATAATGAATTGTGGCAAATCCCTCGGCATGATGGTTGCCAAAGTGGGAAAAGTGCTGCTTTTTGGCTACAATGTTTAAAAACTATTTCAGTAGAAAAAAAGCACCATGTTGTTTCTTATTAATGGATTGATATTTTTCAGTCGGAGCTACGAATATATGGTAAGAATTTTAGAATTTTAATAATGTTTATAAATTTACCAATAAATTATTAAAGATTTATCAAAATTGACAAAAAAAATTTTGTTTAAGAAACACTAGTCTAAATAAAATTAAATGCATCTATATTTTAAATATTTTTTGAAACCGTTAAGAAGTTTTACTTTTATATTTTTCAATATTCATATTTTCATATATTATTTATTATTCTAATATAACAAGAATTAGTATTTCAATGATTTATTTAAGTACACAAAATTATTTTAAGAGAAATAATTAAATATTTATTATTAGATTTAATTATATTTTGCAATTTAAATTTTTGTGATGTACAATTGATGTTTAAAGTCATCTAATGGCATCAAATATGCTATGCATTTGTTTTTGTTTTTGTAGCATCTGGTCAAGAGGTATTGAATTAGTTTATTACTTAATCACTTAAATGGATAAAATTAATTATGAATTTAGAATTGATATAATATATATTACTTTATTTGAGAAATTGAGAATACTCAATAAACATACATCATTATATTGTGTAACTTTTATTAAGAAAAAAAAATTAATTTCATTTAAAACTGTGGGAAGAATATAAAAATAGTATTACCACTTTTCACTTGGCAAAGCGGTCCAACCCACTCTCCGTTAATGCATTTGATTTTGCACAATCTGCGTTCTCCGAGGGGTCCGATGGCTCCTTGAAACATGACCTCCATGACCTTGGAGTAGTCGGTGGAGGAGGAGGCCACGGAGTTGCCGTCGAGGGCCATTTCGGGTGGCGAACATTTGGTCCCCGCCCATCCTGCAAAAGACAAAACAAGCCAACTTTTAATTAAGTTTTTGCACACGTAGAGGGGACGAGGGGCGGCATTTTAAGTGATTATATTTCACGCGTTACACGACGATAATCTGATCGCGGGCGAGGTCAAGAGCACCACTATGCAAACTCCCTGGGGTGCGGTCACCTCGGACGCTCCGGCAAAAACACCCGAAGCGCCGGCGGTCAAGTGAGCAAGCGAGTGTTTGCATGCCTAATGTCCCCGGGGCCACCTGGGCCGCAATAAAGTTGCCCCGAATACACGCCCACTGCTTTAATCTCCAACCGCAGGAAAAATGGCTCTAAATTAATTTCTGTCCTCTCTCTCGCTAAAAGAGAGACCGCCGCGCTAGAGAGGATTAGTCTGGTGAGTTAAAACTTGCATGACGCTCAGGCACAAATCTCTTTGTAGTAGCACTTGTGAATGGATGAATGGACATGTTGCAAATGGACCCAATGCTTTCAATCAGCAACGGGCTGCTGATCAAATGAACGAGGTAATGCTAAACGACAAAGAGCTGAAAATATAATTTTATTTCCATTAAAACAAAATCGTTCATTAAGGAAATTTATACAAAAATCACCCACACAAAATATCCGCGTATAAATCGGCTTAAACCGATTGAAAATTATAAATAGATAGTTTGAAGTTTGTATTTCCAAAAAGGGCTTAAATAAAATAGTGAGTAGATATGTGACGTCAAATTTAAATTTGTTTTTATGGCAAATTTTCAATATGCCCTATTCAAAAATTATTTGCAAGAGAACCAAGCAAAAAATGTGAAAATGTAATTTTTTTATAAAGGTTGTAGCGCACGTCGTACAATTATAATGTAAATTTTATATTTTGCAATATTCTGTATAGCATTATTTATAATGGAACACCGTCCTTGTGATATAATTACAAATTTTCCAGCTCAAAAGACTTTGGTTTTATTAAAATCAATATCCTGGCAATGCAAGGTAGCAAAGCCTCTGCATTCCACTCGTTGGATTCCCTTACGACAACAATTTATGAATTGATTATTGTTGATAACATAGTTTGGCTGGAATTTCATATAATTGCAATATGCCCAGCTCAGAAACATTGATAGATGTTTTCCAGGGATTATGTGTTGTAAGGACAAAGCACCTTACAAATTATTTAACAGAAGCAGGAATTCTCTGTCAAACTTTTATCAGCTTTTTATAGCGGGGAAGAATAGAAAATAAATATTTTAGGAATTAGGATATTGTTAGGGGGAAAAGGTTATGGGCTATATACTTTTTTTAAACTAATGTTTAGTAAATAACCTGACAAATTTATTGTTTTTGAAAGTATGAATGATGCATACGGGCAGAAATTTCCCGGAGAGATATCAATATAGTGCAATTAAGAGACTTTTGCAACTAAAAATTTAGAAGCTACAGAGCTGGAGACTGCGTTGAATTTCTCTAGAATTTTGACTAAGTACTGAAATTTTGGTTTTTTTATAACTGACTGACCAAGCATTATTTTATTTCATTAAGTCCAGTTGCACGATCCTCTCTGCGGAAATAATGTTTAAAAGTTGGGATTCCTTTGCTAGATTTACTTTAGTCATATAAAAAGAAAAAGAAAATATTCCTTTTTATTATGTAGGCATTCAATTTCCAGTCCATTTCTAGAGAGTGTTGATTTTCTGCAAAGCTCTGCACAAATACAAACTTGCCATAATTCCTCTCCACTATGAGTGTTGCTGAAGAGGAGGAAATAGTGCCTGCGAAGTAGTAGTTTTCTCTCTCATTTATGATTACACAGAGCAGAAAACTTCTGCCGCTGCTGGTGCACTTTTTGAACTGGAAATAGACCATCTTTTCAAGTTATAGTTGGGCGGGTGTGCGCCCCGCACATACTCCTCATCCGTACATTCATGCGAAGTTCATAAATAAATTCACCGTCAGATAGAATAAAACGGGAGGGCGCCTATGCAATAAAGAACAGACTTTGTCACCAGCAATTGCGATTAATGGCGTCCAGCTTAAGGTTAAAAGTTAAACACCATTTTTCGCGGAGGCTTTCATGAAATATTTATGTGTGCCAACGTCCTCTCCAGTTTTTTTTTCTTTTTCATATTTTTCTTTTTTACTTTTCGGCCTTGTGTATATGTTATTTCCGCAAGAGAGTGCAAGGAAAAAGCAAGCAGCGTTTTCCGCTTAGTTAGGCGGCGTTGATGGCTTTTAAAAGCAAAACGCATAACTAGCTTTTTATTTTTCAAAGGCCGCGCCATTTATATTTTCATTCCACTCGCATTAAAAGGGCAGCGCAGGTTTTTCTAATTAAAAAAGCGCGGCGAGGGCGCGGCCTGCTTCACCGCAGTGTACGCGCAGAATTCCATTTTGCGTCTGTTTCGCAGGCTGCACTTTTCCACCTGGCGTGACGTACACCGACCGCGGGCAAAGAGTAGCTGGCACAATTATTTCGCCGATCTCGTGGGAAATTCGGGCAGCCGCGTCGGATTTATGAGCCCAAGTGGGGCCCTAATCTGGTAAAACTTCTCGCAGGTGAAATATATGAACGTGTATGCAAAATGATTAGTTCTGAATGGAAGCTGCGACCACTGTTGTATGACGTGTAAAATTTTGTTTTAACAAGCAGCACGCAACCTACTTTTCAGAACATTTGAGGTTTCAGGGTCAGATTTTTGCTACGAATCACTTCAAATGAGAATTCAGCAACCAGCATACTAAAAGAATAAAATCAATTAAATGAATTAGTAAAAAAAAACTCCAATAATTTTACGAGCAAGTTATACAAAATGAATAATACATATTAATTAATTATCTCCTTCTTTGAAAGTTTCAAATATACATTTTTTTTTATTAAAAATAAAAATAATACAAAATTGGTCTTGAAGTAATTTAAATTAGTAAATTGAAAGTTTTTCTCTGAAAATATCAACAGTTTATTGGAAAAACACTACCCATGATGCCTACGACGTTAATTGAGCTTGAAATATGTTAACCCTTCACAAGCTTGTAGCCTGTCCTTTGTCCAGGATGTCACTTTTTAATTTTGGAAATGTGTATATTTTTAGTTTGCTTGATCAGCTTGGTGTGTGCAAAAATTTCAAGATGAAACCGAGATTACATTAGATTATTGCAGATCATTTCTTATTTCCTCATATTCTAGTGTTTTCAATTATAGTTGGCAAAACTTTTACTTAAAAAATAAACAAGGAGTCAGAATATATCTGCATTATTTTAATGTTTAAGAACTCTCCACTTATAGCTGCTCCTCTTTTTTAATGATGACTTGGTTGTTTTTTGTACCATGAATTTGCTTTTCCCCCATTTAATTCCGGATAAAAAGCCATCAACGAAAGGAAAAAGACTCCAGATTTAGTGCAGAGAGGTCCACTAACTAAAACAAAAGAGACCCTTTCCAAGTTAAGCAGATGAAGATATTCCGGCTGCGGAAAATATCTCGCCAAGTGCACATGCTCGGGGCCAGAGAGCAGGATGCTGGGAAATATTTATGATTTCTCCGAGAAGGCCGGAGCCTGAGGTTTAATTGTGGCATAAATTGTTGTGAGCACGCTCCGGAACGGTGACCCAATTTATTGGGAACAAGAGAGAGAAAGTAGTTTTCAGTGAGCAAGCAAGAAGTAGTGCGTTTGTGAAACACGGCGAGCCAGGAAGCAGCGTAAAAATTATTACCTAAGCCATCCGATCAAGATATAGCCTCGGACACGCCTCTTAAATTCCACCCTTTATTGCATTCGCCCGCTTGCCAAGAAATTACGCTCCGATGCTCAATTTTACCGCGCTCCACAAGAAAGTCTGTTCAATTTTTCAATATTATTCCCCTAAAATTCCAACACCAGTGGAAAACTTTCTCTCTCTTTTTTGTTTTAGAGGGGGTGCGACTCCGCCCTGGGAGAACACAGGAAGAGAGAAAGTGCATCCACACACACCCTAGCTCATTTTTCTTCCGTTTGTGCAGGGGTGAGAGTTTTTTTTAAGTGCACCAGTCAGTCGGATAGGTGGCCTGCTAGGAATAGGTATCGCTATCGGTTTCGCTGTCAATATCGTCTGCTGGCTCTCGGACGGGATTAGTTTCTCGGCTTAGTGAACGCCAGCAGTCCATTTGTCACCAAACGCCGCCGAAACTGGACTTGACAGCAAAAAAGTGGCTATCTAATCACTGTCTAAGTCGGGGGAAATCCGGAAAAGGGAAAAGGAACGTGATAATATTGTGACACGTGCGGTTGGACACGTCAAAGTAAAGAGTTGGTAAAAAAAATCAATTTAAAAGAGAAAATCGAAAGTTATTAATATTAATTTATTATAAAATGCACATAATTTGCAATTAAATTAAGCAATATGAGTGAAAAAATACGCTTTAATAACTTACACGAAAATGTGCTAATATTCTACAAAGAGAGTATAAAATTTATGTTTAATTTAGATATTTTTTATGCTATAACAATTCATCAGATAATCGCAGATTTAATCTTAACCGCAGCGTTTAAAATAACTTAATTCGCAGGCATGTTTTAAAGATGAATCCTATTACATTCAATTAGTCTGGGCTATTCTTAGTATAGGATCGAGATAACAAAGATAATTATTTTCAACGACAGTCTGAGCCCTGAGGCGACGATTGGCGGAACAAAAGCCAAAGGAGCATTAGGCAGCAGCTCAGAACATTACGGGCACCTTTTAAGTACCCGGCGAATTAGTGTCAAAGCCGCTTATAGGCGTGGAGCTTTCTAACCGTACACACACCTGCCGATAAAATCCAATCAGCCGCCTCTCGGCGCATGCAAATGAGAAAGAGCACTCGACGGCGGGCGCTTCCAGAATCGAATATTATACGCGAACAATAGCGTCATCCTTCATTCCCAGGGTCGGGGAAATTTATTTTGCATCCGCCCGAGGGTTATCTCTGGGCGTCAACGCGGCGGCAGAGAAGCAGCTTCCTGCCGCATTGTTGCTCGCTAATTATCCGAATTTGGCCACCA